CCTCTTCCCACCCACATCTCAAGTATTGGTTAATAGTTTTCCTCCAAATCCATTTCCCAAAAGCTATTATATTGGGTTTCAGCATTGCTGCACTCACAATAACTCCTATCGTTGGGTCAACCAGCAGCACAGCTTCTGAGGTTATCTAGAAAATGACACTGAAGCATATCAACCAAAAATTTTAAGCAGCAAGACCTTTTAGAATTCTCTTACCCAGGGGCGTGAAAATAACAGGCTTCTGAAAGTAATGATGCAATTCCCTAGGCCAGTGTTTCCCAAACTTTTGACATATGTGTACCCCTTCTATAATTTTTATAATGCTGAGTACCCCTTGTACTCATGAGAACGTAGAATTGGGCACAGCTAAGCACGGTGCAGTGCATATCCCCACCAAACTCCGGTGCAATGCATTACCCCACCAAACTCTTCCCGTACCCCTGGGGGTATGCGTACCACACTTTGGGAAACACTGCCTAGGCCATTTACTGTTTCCCATTTTCCTTTGATGGGCATCGAAGTGAGGGTTCAGACACTTAGGCTTTCACCATACTTGAGAAAATAAACAAACATTTTATAGCTCTTCTTGCTAAGCCACAGTATTGTTAATGCATTGTTAATGCTCCATATGAATTTGTTAAGGAAGTAGGTCACCGGATTTTTCGTGGACCAATGGCTAAGGGAAATACGATATAAATCAGAATACGTGTGCTTATGATGAATACTCTTAATTGGGACCTGGGGCATTCCAGATGTTCGGCTCCTGTACACTCCTAGAAAATAACCCAAAAGGATCCTGGTTTCTCGTGTGGAGGGCAATTCCTCCGTTAAGTAGGCCTATTTTTGTCAGTACACAGAAGGCTATACTAAGGTATCTTCCCAGGTCTAAGAAATAATGTTATCCTCTGAGAGGATGGGATTAACTATCTGTAGAAACTACCTTAGGGCAGCAGATGTTGATGTTAGTAGCATGATGAACAGAGAGATTTACTGTAAATCAATCACTGATTGATTTAAAATCAGTTAAGCACTGATGTTTCATAGATCTTTTTAAAAAGTAAGTTAGAAATTATTCAAGATTATTTTTGTAGTAGCTTTGTCTTGGGTGTGAGAGAAAAACACAGGGTGGTCCCAGTGTCCACCATCCTTGGCCTATTTTACCCACCAAGTTCATGGTCTGGCCATAAGCTGGGTGTAAAGTTTGGGTGTAGGTTATGGTGGGGGTGAGGGAAGAAAGAAATACTTTGAGATCATCTGCCTTAAAAACAAGTAAGTCTTCTCAAGATTGAAGTCCAGAAATGCAATCAAAGATGACTAAAAAAGTAAACAAGACTGATGATCTACTCTAAAATATCAACAAATCTCATGGCTGAAATTGTGGTAAAAAAGGAGATCAGAAAAAGAGGTACAATGAAGGAACCTATACTCAGGATATAAGGCATGCAAGATGGTTCCCTCCCATCCTTCTCGGCAGGTCTAACCCAATGGTGGAGGCAGATGTATCAGGGTATTCTACCGGGAAGTAACAAATTCATCAACTAATGCCCCTCATATTCTCAGTTTGACAAGCAACCTTCTGATAGGATTTCCTTCAGGAAGAAAGAAGCCACTGACTGGCCAGTTGACACGAGTATTAGAGTATACATGGCCACATTGGACGTCAGTGAATGGGCAGTCACTGCCAGGCATTGGTCATAAGTATTCCTTTTTGTGTCAACAAGTCTTCTGCAACATAATCAACTCTCCATTTACTATCAATGTGGAATTCCTCTGTCTGCCAATGTGTAGCACCCTACTTTCTAAGCAGGCCTCTCTTTATATTAATTATCACATATGTTTTGAGTGCTCCCAGATGAAGGAATTTCATGTTTCCCAGACAAGATAATTCTTACATGCAGAACAAAATGGAAAACCACAAAGTAGAATTCACTTCAAAATTCCTGTCAAGAATTCTCCAGATTCCACAATTTCGTCTATTCTGTCTTATGTATGCCTTATGCAACATAAATTGGGGAACAAGTTCGAACAAAGATGGTCAATAAGACCACTATCCTCTATAAAGATTTTGTGAACCCAATAGGTCTGACTAAAATCATATTGACAATTGCTTATAAATAAATCTTTCAAAATTTTGGGAAAAATGTTAAATGAATAAAGAATGCCCTGTAACATCCCCATGTCTATATGGGATTGATTCAAATAGGAGTGTGCTGAAGAAGAATGGGTGTGTTCAAGTGTTTCTATGTTCTGCATGGACAAGTACACAGCCAACATCAGCTACAAGTGGTAACGAGAAGCCCTGTGGGAAGACATAGCATTGATTGGAACAATATTGTGATGAAAGCAGACAGCAACTACAAGCCAAGGTTTTGATGGGTTTAAATAAGGCAGTTCTTTATTCTGGTGTAAAAGGACAGCCTGATGCCACTGTCCTGAGTAGAATGGCAGGGGAGGGGGGGGAGGAGAAATATTTGGAAGAAAGAATGAGGTAGGTATGATTCCCTAAGATGAGAATACTGGTATACAGGTGTCTAAGTAAATACAGAAATTGATGGTGGCCTCCACAAATGCGTGCCTCCTGAATAGCAGTAAATGTACATCTGTTGCTTTTCAAGTCTCTGGACTTGAGCCTAAGTTGTACAGAGAGACATGTGTCTCAGTTCTCCTGCACCCTGCTGCTTGACTGTTTCCCCCAGGATTTGCGGAGCAGGGCCTGCCTCCCGGTCTATACTGGTCCCATCTATTTCTCACCATCAACTCCACAGCAGAGCAAGTCATGATGCTCTGCCCCTGAGGCAAAGGACAAAAATTTCTCAAGTTTAGTTAAAAAATTACATTATTTTTTACATCTCAAGTGTAAAGGTCCAGACTATATCCTTCCACTATTTTTTTAATTAATAACTTACTACATCATTATATAGAACAAAAGACATCTAAAAAAAATTCCCAAGTCATTCATTCCATTCATTTATTACATTTCAGACTAACTTGATAGGGATCAGCTAGAAGGAAAACAGGAAAAACACATTCTTATTTTTTAGGTGACTCTTGTGAGCCCTCAAGTCAAGGTCATGAGACGTCAGTATTGTGAAGGATCAAAGCACAGGCAAAACCCTCTAATGTACACAACGAACTTTTAAATCACAATTAGTTGCTCTACACAAGCTAATGAGAATATTGGCTCTACTGCCTCTTCCATTTCTCCTGTACTGAGACCTTAAAGAGGAGAACATAAGCAACTTAAGAAATAGAAAGAGTGGCTACAAGGAATGCCATTTCCTCAATGAGGTAAGGAGCTGATCAAGTTGTATCCTGACAGACACAGTGAAGTAGAAAACTCAGAGATCATTACATGAATATAGTATACAAGTGTAAAACCTTCTCCTCACATGTAAGCTTCGTTTTGTTTTGTTTTTCTCTCCATATGGTTTTTTAATTTGGCTTTCAATTTGCATTTCCCTGATGATTTCAATGATCTTTTAATGTGCCTGCTTGCTCGCTGTTTGTTTAAATCTCTTGCATGTTTTTACTTGAGTTGTTTCCTTTTTATTGGCTATTGAGATTGACTTGCATCCTGAATCTAAGAAGAAATCAAATGTTCTTTTGAAGTTATTCTCCCTCGCTCTGTGGGCTGTCTTTTCATTCTCCTAATGATGCTTTTGAAGTTGTAGAAGTCTGTAATTTTGATAAAGTATGATTTGTCAATTTGTTCTTTCATGGTTTGTAGTTTCATCGTCCTGCATAAGAAATCTTTGCCTAACCTGAGACCACAGAGAGTTTCTCTGGGGTTCCTAACTAGAAGTTTTATAGTTTCACATTTTAAAATTTTATGATCATTTTCAGTTAATAATCTACTTCATTAATGTTTAAGTATTAATTAATGTTTGTATCTGATGAGAAGTATAGATAGTTCATCATTTTGTGAATGGATATCTAGCTACTTCATTACCGTTCATTGATGAGTTTCTCAATGGAATGTCCTTTGTCAAAAATAAGATGTCCATATACATGTGAATCTATTTCTGGACTCTCTATTGATCCATTTGTCTGTCTCCATGCTAATACCCCACTGTCTTGATTACTATAGCTGTATCAGTCTTGAAATCAGGCCAACTTTTCCTTTCTTTTGCAAGTTGCTTTGTCTATTGTGAGTGTTTTGCATTTCCATATTAATTTTAGAATCAGCTTGTAAATTTCTACAAAAAAAATGTCTGCTAGGATTTTAATTAGGATTACATGAAATCTATAGATCAATTTAAAGATAATTTAATCAATCTGTTAAGAGTCACAAACAGTGGCTATCACATATCTCTATTAATGTAGTCAATAAAGTTAAGGGCTACCACTGGAACAGAAAGTTTGTGTAAAAAGCAAGAGTAAGTCTCCCAATTGATAGTTCGAAGATTGGAGGGGGATATAATGTGAATTCTCAGGGTTTAGAAAGAGTGGGGTGTTGGTTGTGGAAAGCGGAAGGTGTGCTCATGAAGAACATTGTGAAGTGCTTCTAGCTGGGGTGAGTTGTCGTCCTGATTCTACAGCTATGTCGCTCTCCAATGTGTGGGCCTCCCGGCATAATGATCACTCGGAACAGATTTCTGTGTTTGTTTTTAACCAAAGTAATAACTAATTAAAGGCAAAAAAAATGCAAAAACTGAAAATATGGAACATTTCCCATTCTCACTGCACAGTTCATGATCAAAGATTCACATTCCATTCCATTATAATCAGCAAGTCCAGAGTCAACTTTTTATAAAGTTTACATTGAAAATGGCAGTGTGAAAGAAGGTATAGAATGCATGTGTGATGGAGAAAGGATGGTGGAGGAGAAGAGATACAACAATAATTTATAAACTATTGAAAAATGAATAATAGTACTCTTTAAATGTGGTGAAGTGCTTTTTCAGGGTCTGAGATAAGGATCTAATAACAACCACTATTCAATTCTAACAAACTGGAATTAAATGGCACATCTATGGAAAATGTAATGAGAATTATGCCCTTACCATCTGCTTTCTTTGAGTCATTTCCGACAGTGGATTGATCCTTCTTGTCAGCCTTATTTTTACCATCTTTCAAGTCACCTGCAAGTAATAAACATAACAAAAATAGATTATGTAGACACCTAAGGAGGAAGTTAGAAATAACTTTAAACCTGTCAAGATTTTTAAAAAGAGAAAAGGTACAGTATAATTTTAGTCATGAGGGGGTACATGTCGGATGTAAATGTCCTTTAGACCACAGATTAGGTTCTAAATATTGGTTTATGATCTGAAAATTAAAATTAAAGTTTCTGCCCAGCCAGTGTTGCTCCACGAGCATCGACCCAGGAAACAAGAATTCACTGGTTCGATTCCAGGTCCGGGAATATGCCCGGATTGCGGGGCAGTCAGGAGGCAACTGATTGATGATGTTTCTCTCTCTCTGTCCCTCTTCCTCCCTCTCTCTAAATAAATATATTTTTTAATTGAAAGTTCCTGTTTAACAGGGTTGTACTAAAGGCAATGGTGTTTATCCTCAAGAAAGGCAGTTCAACTTTGTTATTAGGCTGTAGAGTGAGGAAGAGCCTGGGTTAAATGTAAGTGATGTCAATGAATAGCTTTTTAACTTTTAGGTGCTTCCGTGTCCTTATCTGTGAAATGGGAATATTAACATCTACTTTATAGGCATAATGAATGCATGGACAAATGCATTTCAAGTACTGAATGTGGTATCTGACACATCATTCAATGACAATTATTATTATTCTAAAACAGAGCTATAAATAGCATTCTAATTAAGGAGCTTGTCGAAATGTAATTGGCAAAAGTTAAGAAACACTAGCACACAAATGTAGAATGAAAACGTCAAAACATATTTAAATTTATGAGGGAATGAGGGAGATAGTGAGGATGGTTCCAGAAGTATTTAAGGAACTGGATATTTATAGGTATTTGTAAAATGTGTTAAAATAGATTGCTAGGTTAGAGACAAAACTGACTATGTCCTACAAGGCAATAAAACCCTAACCTTTGGGGTCATCTCCTCTACCAGTCAAAATCTATCTTCACAGGGCCTGGGCTTGAATCAAATAGTAAATGACAAAGTCAACAAAGTCACCTAGAGGAGGGGTCAGCAAATTATGGCCCGTGACCATGTCTAGTCTGCTATCTGCTTTTGTATCATAAATAAAGTTTTATTGGAACATGGCCATGCCTTCATTTATGTATTTCAGGGCTGCTTTCTTGCTGCAGTGGCGGAGTTGAACAGTTGTATCAGAGATGCACAAAGTCAGCACTGTTTACTATCCAGCCCTTCAGAGAGAGAGGCTGCTGACACCTGCCTAAGAGAAGTACCCTCACCCCCCACTCCATCCCCACCTCCCCACCCCACATGCAGTCTATTCAACAATATGCAGTGATACATTGAAAAAACATGGCACCCCTTCCCCCAGCACTACTCTCAAGTATTGGATGCTTTTTCTTACCAGTGTCTAATAGTAGCTTTCTTTTTAGCCTGTGTAAAACCAACAATGCATTACCACTAACATACTGGTCTTATTGAAGCAAAAGGATCCTAATAATAAATGCAACCAGGAAGGAGCAAGCAGGCCCAAGAGATATTGACCTTTTTTGTTTTATTTGTGCCAAGCATTGTGCATCACTTCATTAAATTCTTATAACAACCCATTATGAAGGTGCTGTTACTGGCAGGAGGCAAATTCATCAATGTTTAATTCACTAAATGATCAATCTGCTGAACAACTAACTCACCAAATGATTGAGGAGGTTTTTCCAAGCTTGAGTTTTTCCTTCACTGCAGCCACCTGTCTACATAGAGGTCAGTCCTGGGCTTCATGCATTCACTGGGCCCCACCTCTGCCCCTGCCCTTCCACGTGGGTCTCCCTCTGAAACTGCCCCTCTTGTCCACCACAGCCTTGGTTTAAGCCATCTGTCTGACAGTTTTTGAACAAATGGCCGATTGATCTTTCCACAAAGAGGGTTTGCTTAAATCGACCTGTGAAGAATTTATGTGAAACCCCTATCATCTCCATGTTATGCCATAAATAAAGTTACTTACCATGATAATCAGAGATGGGTCTGATTGTAGAGGCCAGCCTCTCAACTACCGTATTTTGGGACTTTCCTAGGAAGCTCAAGTTTTAGACTTCAAGATCCTATTGATGGTACCACTTCTAAATGCCTTTGACCTTCAGACTGATAAATGCTTTTTAATAAGAATGCAAGACCATTTTTTACCCTGACATCTTCTACAAAGTAAGTACTTTTAATGAAATGTGACAAATCCTAAACTATGTTAGAAGTCAATAAACTCTCCAAATTTTCCCACTCTTAATTCTGAAATAGGTTGTACTGGCTGGAGGGAAGGAGGGAGGGGAAGGGAAGCCACAAGCAGGAGGCGTGTAAGTAAAGAATGTGGTCATCACCCTCTATCATGACCAATGGTCAAAACTGACGAGTTTCTTTGGAGGTGCCACGAAATAATCCATATGCTGGCTCATCCCTGTTTTAAGGATGGCAGAGATGACTCAAGGATCTTGAGCCTTGTAGTCAAACTAACTGCCTATAGAAAAAATGGCCTTTTGGTACTCACTGAGCCTTCATACCCTTAATGCACTCTACGCTGAGCCTTTCAGGTTGCCCTGGACCAGAGCTTTTCCCACAGATGCAGCAAGACCAGGATGCCTTCCAGAAGCCAGCAGGAGCAGTTCAGTTTGCCAGATGCTAGCCAGCAGCCCGTGGCAGCCTGCCTTCCCCTCAGTCGGGGCTGGGGAGGCTGAGGGGGAAGTGCCTGGATGGAGACCAGCACTTAGCAGATCCTGTAATTGCTCCTAGGGGCCCCAACCCCCCGGAACCCCACTCACCCAGGGTCCTCCAGTTCTCACCCCAAAATACCTTGGGCGGCCACAAGGAGGGGCGCTGGGAAAGTGACTGGCGCTTGTTTGCTGATGTTCCTCAAGGAAACCCATTGGGTAATTTCCCACGGGTTGTGTATGGAGTAATGGTTGCTGTGAGCGGTTATAAATCATTTTAATTAGGCTGCTTCGACTCAGTCCCGAACCTCCATTAGCCTTTCTGATTATCCTCTAAACGGATTTCTTTTTCTACCTCTCATTTCACACCTAGATTTTAGGGGAAATGGAAGACAATTGCTTACTTTGGGACATTAGCACAGCTGTGAAATTCACCCAGGCTCGCTGGACACTCAGGCTCCTGCTCTGCTCCTCTGGCCCCCTTCGGAGCAGTTGCTGCCACCTCTGCCCGCTCTGGGCCTTTGTTGTACCCCTCCCATGGCACAACCCTCCTGGTCACCAGCACGCCTGTGCTCATTCGCTTCTCTCCCTGGCCAGACCAGGGGTTGGCAAACTGTGGCCTGTGGACCAAACCTGCCCTGGTTTCATATGGCCCACACACTAAGAACAGTTTTTACATGTTTTAAATGACTGAGGTGGAAAAAGAAGACTATTTCATGATGTGGGAAAACTATATAGAATTCAAATTTCCACTTTCATAAATAACGTTTTATGGGAACTCAGCCATGCTCCTCTGCTTATGTAATTACCGTTGGTTGCTTTCACCCCAAAACAGCAGCCCTGAGTGGCTGCGATGTAGCCCACATGGCCTACAAACCCCAAAATATGTACTCCCTGGTCCTTCACAGAGGGGAGTGTTAGCCTGCAGTAAGCTGACTATAGGGTGTTTGTGGACAGTGGCTGAGTCTCAATAGTTCTATTTCTTCCTCTCCCTCTCCCACCCCCCGACAGCACCAGCCAGTAGGAACCTGCTGACTGTGGATCACAGAATTTGGACTCACACAGACCTGAACTTACTGCCTCAGGGGTGCTTGACCTAAGCCAGCGGTCTCACCTCTCTGAATCTGTTTCCTCACCTGCAAAATAGGGATGTATGTAGGCCCCACGCAGCGTTGTTAGGATTTGTAAATGGTTTTGTGAACATGAAATCTCACCAGCAATGTCCAGCACATGGTAAGCGTTCATTAAATGTCAGTGATATTGTCACCCACCCCAGAGGAGCCTTTCCCCACTGACTCCACTCACCGTTCTGCTGCTTGTCTCCTGACAGCTTCTCTTTGGCGTTTTTCCCACGAGCGTTGTGGCTCTTGTTGGGGCGCGTTCCGTTGACTTGACTCTGAGCTTCCCCGGGTGTGTTTTTGTCCGCCTGGCCGGCCGCGCCTTCTGCCTGGCTTTGGGCTTCCATCTCCTTCTGCTTTTCCTCCGCAGCCAGGCGAGCCTTCTCCTCGGCTTCCTTCTTGGCCTTCTCTTCTGTGTCCACGGCAAGGTGGGCAAGGCGTTGGAAAGACAGAAAGAGGTCACGCCATGAGGAGAGTTGCCTCTTTGCACAAAACCTGGTATGGCACTGGCAATAATACACTCAGGTGACCGAAGGCGCCACTGAGAGTTTTGGGTTTATTTTCAGTTAATTCAAATGAGATTGGCATGGATACTCAGGAAATAAATAAAATCAGGTCATGTTATGCAATTTCTGAAATCAATGGATTAGGAGAAGAGACAGGGAGAAAGTAATAATAATAATAATAATAATTAATAAACCAATATTGTAATTGGCATTACTAATAATAGTATTACCATCAATAACTTCTAATCAGTGTGTCCCCTGTGCAGGGTTTGATGCTAAATGCTTTCCAAAAATCATTTCCTTTCATTCTCAAAACAACGCTACTTTACAACATGGAACTGAGGCTCAGAGGCCGCAAAATCTCCCACGGTCACAGGAAAAAAATGGAGTTTCTCGTAGGTTTGCTGGGAACCTGGAGTTTAAACAAAGTAAAAAGTCCCCACCACTAGAATAATACAGTTTCAGGTCACTGTAACGTTAAAAGTAGGAAGAGGCTAATTAAGTCTTCAAAAACATGTCTGCAAACCGTCCACAGATGAGAGGTGGCTCTTAGTTGGGCCAGGTGTCCTTATCTGTGTCCCCTTAACTGAGAGGGTGTCAGCCTGCTTTCCCATTCAGGTGACTGTGAAAGGCTCTGGCTCTGTACTTAAACAAAAACATAGCCTACCTGCATCTAGTCACATATTTATGAAAAGAGGCTTATTCATTCAACTAATATTTCTTGAACAGCTGCAGTGCCAAACACCATTTTAGGTGCTGGTCACATGGCAGCAAGCAGAGAAGACCATTAACAGGTGAGCAAACCACTAAGAGACAGAGAATTTCAGATGGCAAAAAGGGTTTTGCAAAAATGGTAAGTAATGTGATAGAACACGACCAGCCAAAGAGTGAAGACGCTGGCATTTGACGGAATATTAAGGATGATCATGGGAAATAGCTTTCTAGGCCAAGGAAATAAAAAAGGTAAGGCCATGGAGTAGGAATGAGTTTGCTCTGTTCAAGGGACACTGCGTTAGCCAGTGTGGCTAAAGCCCATTGAGAGAAGGGTTAGTGACAGATGATGTGGTCAAATAACCAAGGACATGAGGGGTTGAGACCACACAGGGCCTTGGAGGCCGCCAAGTGGAGCTGGGTTGTAGGAAATATTCAATAACATACATGGAAGGCACCTAACAGAGACCATTCCTCCGTAGAGGCCTGGAGACTTAGCATTTATTTCACACACAAGGCCTCTCCGACTGTGCCTTCACCTCCATTATGAAAAACATTGCTGATTTTCCCCCCTCTAGATGTGCTAACAGTGTCCTACACCTCATTGTCAGGGGACCTCTTCATTTCCCTTGGTTAGTCTTGGTTTCCACAAAAGCTGACTTTCATGGACAACAGGATTACTTTTAATCTCATAGGCACCAGAGTGGTGGGTTATGCATATGATTATATTTCCCTTTGTTTTAGCTGCTAAAGGGCACAAATCCCAAATTTGGTGCTGGTGTCCATGTTCTTGGGGCTTTGTGATACTGGACTTTGTGGATGTCTATAAACTCCGGCTTTATTTTTACATTTTCTGCCCTTACATTTGCTTGGCTCAGATGTTCTCCATGATACATTATGAGATGTTTATTCATCCCTTCATTGATACCCATCCACCCCACCCAAACCAATGCCCTGGACTCACCCCAGACAACACAAATGAAGAGTGAGAGTAGGGTTTGTAAATGCTCTCTGGATGATTCCAATACACTATTTAACAAGCACTTCTTTAAAGTTTAAATGATTGCCATTCAATATTTTATGACATCCTCCTTTCCTGACAGGATGTCATTATAATTTACAATGACAAGGTAAAGAAAGGTTTCTTTACAAAATAACACAATTATGTGCACACTAGAGGCCCGGTGCATGAAATTCATGCACTGAGGGCGGGGGGGGGGGGGTCTCTCAGCCTAGCCTGTGCCCTCTTGCAGTCCAGGAGCCCTCACGGGGAGTGGGCAGAGCTGGCAGTCAGGCATGTTTAGCACTGCCTTGGAGGCCAGAGAGGCTCCTGCCACTGTTGCTATGCTCACCAGCTCTGAACCTGGCTCAGGGCTTCTGGCTGAGCAGCACTCCCCCTGTGGGAGCACACTGACCACCGGGGGCAGCTCCTGTGTTGAGCATCTGCCCCCTGGTGGTCAGTGTGCGTCATAGCAACTGGTCATTCTGTTGTTTGGTCGATTTGCATATTAGCCTTTTATTTTATAGGATATCGTATAATATGTCTTCTGACTTCCACAGAAAAGTACAACTAAAGAGTAAAAAAGCGGCCTTGCAGAAGAAGATGGTGAGATGGCATTCTCTATAGACTGCGGGGCGCAGGAGGCCTGCTAGAATGCCCATCCACTTCTCATCCTTCTGCAGTGCCCAGAGGACAAGGGCCAAACATCACCTCCATCTCTGAATCCCCAGTGCTTGGTACAGCACCTGACACATAGCAGATGCTTCTGGAGCATTTGTTGACTAAATAAATGTCCACAGTGCGTCCACAGTCTCTTCCAATGAGCCTGGCTGGTATATATTCCATCATCAGCAATCCAGACCGTAGTAAGTACAAGAAGTAGACAAATATAATGTCCTTCCCCAAAAGACTTAGCCGCTTGACAAATCGTGGTTTCCTTAACCACTAACGTAGGTGAGTAAAAAGATGACTGTTCTTATTGTGCAGAGAGGGAAACTGAGGCATGGCAGGAGAGAATTCATTCAAACTTGGGATTCAGATAAAATAATGTATACTCCCCTCCCAGAAGCCCACTGAATCTGTGGTAAACTTTCTACATTTAAAACATCCCCACGTTAAAAATAATTTTGATTAAAAACTGAAGGTGTTGAAATCTGGTTTACTACAAAACAGCATAAAAGATGATCTGAGCAATAAAAATTCCTTTGACAACTGAGTCAGACCAATTTTCTATGGGAAATCCAGCAAAAATGAAAACTGGGCAGGGGGTGCATATCAGAAACAAATCTGTTTTTGCTCAACTACAGCTGACAGCAGGCAATTAATATTTAAATTAACAAATGGCATCTCTTACGACATCATAATCAACTCCGATTCGAGCTGGCCCCGCTATATGATTCCTTTCCCTGGCGTGATCATGCACCAAGTGGGTGGCTCTGCACTGCCCTTCACCTTTCTACTACCACCTCTTCCTCCTATTTCTGATATCGGTATGCTCAACTTCAGCCCTTAAAGTGGCACCACTTAAAATAAACACATCAAGGAGCAAAAGGAGATTAAATCATCAGGAGATAGGCCTGTTCCACGGTAATCAGCTTCCCTTATATTTTCAGGGTGAAATTATTAATTCACATAAAATTTTTCTACAGTGAGAAAAAGCAGGTGAGAGCACAATCAATCTGAATGTGCTCACAGATCGCAATGATGGCATGTGTGCACGGAGTTAACTTTCCCAGGTCTTGGATTTGACATGCTTGGCACTCCCAGGCTTCTTTGCTGGCAGAAAGCAAATGTGCCGTTCAAAACCATCTCAGAATATCTGTGAGGTGACTCCTTATGAAATGCCCGAAAGCAAGCAGCTAGAGAGTGCAAGTAGAGCGGAGGTTCATGATCCGTAAATGACAGTCCTCCTGAGAGAGAGCTGCTTCTATCTCACACAGAATGTCCATGCAGTTTTGGAGAAATGCATTGACTTCTTCATTTAATTTGCCTTTCTGTATAATGATACGATAGGCCAGTTGGTTAAAATAGTATCAGGCTGGTTATCACTTGATATAATTTTTTTAAATGACTATTTAACCTACTTAGAAACAGAGAGAGAGAAATTACTAACTGAAAAAAATAATACCATATGAATTTTGAACAGTCAACTCTCGGCTGACAGAAAGGCACTTCTAGACATCGAAGGAGTCAGGCGTGCCCACAGGTCCTTTCTGAAAGTATTGGCCCAAAGAAGTGCTCCAGCTGACAGAAAAATTCAATGTCAAAAACTTAATAAGGAAATACTTTAATCTGTTCCATAAAACTAGCAAATCTCAGCGCTTAAAAGTAACTGTTATCAAGCTAGAAATAAAACTAGATGCATATATAAAATAATATCAAATGATAAGTTCATTATAGATGAACAATTTATTTATAATCACCTAGATTGACAATCTCATATTATTTCAATAAAAGTTGGTGAATATGGAGAAAATAAGTAAAAATTCAATAAATTTCTCAGCATTTGCGAAGGAGTATCACTACATACTATTTGATATTTACATTGATAGACACATAATTCAATAAAAAATCTAATGGTAATCTCTAGTAAAATAAAAATGGGATGTACTTTCGAAGACCATTCTGTCCAAGTTAAAAGGCAATGACAATCAAATAGGGCAGAAATTGCAACATATTTTTCCAACTGAAGAATTACTCTCCTTAATATATGAAGAGTTATTATGAAATAATAATGAAGGTAGAAATAGACATTCTCACTATACTTCTACTGGGAGGGAACATAAGTTAAAAAAAAAATTTTTTTTCTGAGAAAATTTTGCCAGTAGATATCAAGAGCTTTAGATTTTTGTTTTTTTCACTTATTTTTTCAAAAAAATTCCACATGTAGAAACTTATCCCAGACAAATAATCAGAGGTAGCCTCAAAGGTTTTTAAAATTGTATGTTCATAACAATGTTATATACAATATTGTAGAACTGAAAACAAAATGCTCTATAGAGGAATGATTCAAGGTAGCCCTCCAAATCATACTTTCTAAACCTATTCAGCATCAGGATAAAATGCTCACGATAGAAAAAGAAAGTAAAATACAAGGCAGTATTATACTATGATCCCATCTTACAGGAAATTCTTTTATTTATATAAATGCATGGTAAATCAAATAAAAAAGAATTACATCAGAATTTCAATAACAATTATATCTGGCTAGAGAGGCTGTAAGTGACTTTATTTTCTTTTTATATTTTTTAAAATTATATTTCTGCATTATAACCTAAACATGCATTATTCTTATACCAGTGTGGGGGGGGAAGGTTTATAAAGTATTAAATAATGAATGGAAATGTATCAACATTGATCAGACCTGCAAATGGTTATAGCTATACACCTTTATTTGGAAATAATGATTTTTTCAGCTCTCAGAGCTATAAAAGGTATCGACACAATCTTTCCTAACAACTATGGGTTCTGGCCTACCGAGCTTTGTAGATGAGATTGGCGAATACAATCAAGACTGTAAAGCCAGTCCCATTTCTGATCAGTTTGATAACAACACATGTTCAAGTGCCCCACGCAGGGAGCTTTCATGAAGTCAGGATTCTCTAAAAAAGAACAATGAGCAAAACAGCCTGGGGTCATCTAATTCAAACTGACCGCTAACGGAAATAAACTGGTGTTCTTAACACCCATCAGCCAGTCAACAGCATTCCTGGGAGGCTGAAAATATTATAAAGTATTAGTTATAGGTGGGCATTTTACCACAGTCTTCTTAACTTGGCGTTCAACTTTCCTTTCTAATTTGAAAAGTAACGGCTAGACTTACAGGCACCAGCCATGTGCAGGCTCTGTCCCCTACACCTTACATTCAGGGTGTCCCCAAAAATGTATACACACACGGAATACTTATAAAGGCAATGTTTATTAAAACATATTTCATTTTCAAAATTGAGCTATCAGTTGTTAAAGTGTGTATACACCCTGTATCTTTTCTGTTCTTCGCACTAGCTCTGTGAGATGTATTATCAGCCCCCAAATCAGGGGTGGGGAACCTCTTTTTCTGCCAAGGGCCATTTGGATGTTGATAACATCATTTTCGGGCCATAAAAAAAGTATCAACTTAAACATTAGCCTGCTCTATTTGGTCAAACATTTAATTAACTCACCCCTAACATCTTGGCAGGGCCAGACCAAATGATGTTGAGGACTTTACAACAAGGCCCATGGGCCAGATGTTACCCACCCCTGCCCCAAAAGGAATTTTTCAAAGAATCTACCTGCATTGGCCAAAGAGGACAAGGCGAGTGGGGATTCAAATTGCCCTAATCGCACTAACTGGAGTTGGCTTTGATGGCCACACGATCTTCTCACAAAATATACATAACCGGGCTCTGCCTGTCCCTTTTCTCTCTGTTCCCTATTTCTTCATTGTTGTTCTTCCTCTTCTTCATCTTTTTACTTATTTACTAAGCATTGCTCAGCAGTTATTGACATCAGTAAAATATTTGGTTGCTGTTATCTGAGCTCACATCAAAGTGACTTTGATTCACTATGTTTTCATCCTAACAGTTTCAAGTCATATACTAAGACCCAGACTAACATGACTGGTAAACATTAAATCACATGACAAGAGTTTCTCCATAAACACTAGGAATTAACTGCATGTATTTATAATATTAAATCAAATTAATTTCTTTTAATCAAATAGGCTTGTCAATGTAGGCAACTGTACTTATTTCAGCTGAAGAAGACATAGTTACTGTATTATAATTATTCTATTAAGACTTGATTTATTACTAGAACTTAAATTCTGTTCCCTATTTCTAAACACAATGCCTTCTTCTGGGCTCCAGCCCAGGCATCCTGCAAGTCCTGGCCATAGATGCCTTCCCAAATACTCCCAGCAGGATTAGGAACAAGCCCTTTTATGCTTCCAAAATAGCTTAAGCATATCAGCTTCCCTAATAGATTTAAGAATTATTAGCTGTTTATGTATCTGTCCTTTTCAAAGGGCCAGTTTCCCCGGGCAAAGAAGCTGGCCAGTGCTCCCCCAGGTGATTCATTTTGGGGGTAATTTTAGTAAGCCAGATGATCGCCAGCAAATGACTCTGAAGTACCTCTTCACACTGCCCGTTGTCAGGGCCTGGTTTCCAAGTGTAATGAGTGTAATTGATGACAAGTGCCTGCTTCCTTGGAGACGATGCAATGGTGACCGTCCCTGCCTGCAACGCCTGCCAACGGCGAGGATTTCAATGTTGAAGGCTTCTGAGTGGGCTGTGAGGGGCTATTGGTAAGATAGGGAAGAGGCACGGGCTCCTTCCAGAGCTCAGGGTGCAACATTTGTCCGGAATTGATAAGGGCCCAATGAGGCCTTAAAGGCGCGGAAATATAAACCTATTTTACCGCCTGGAATGAGCCGCCGCTGGATAGGGGTTTGTGAGTAAGTCACAGTAGTTTTCCTTGGAATAACTCCAACTCCAAGGGAGGGAGGTCTCTCCCCTCCTCACTGGAAGCAGCAACCCGATGTACGAGGAACCAAGATGGCCAACATGTGTTCAGTGCAGCCCCTCCACGCTCGCCTCTGTTGTGTAGACACTGGGTGGATGAAAGTATGGCATGTTGTGTTTGGGGGTGAAAACCCTCCTTGCCTGCAGGGAGGGTCACACAGGGCTGGTGGGTGCGAGTGATGAGCACAACTCCCTTTCTCCCTTTGAAAGAAACTCCGTACTGACGTCCTCTTCCCCCCAGGAGCTTCAATGACAACGATGTCTATTTCTCATCTCTGCACCCTTGGCACAGAACCTGGCATGACAGTCAAGGCCATGCTATGGGGAGGCCTGGAGGTCTGTGCCATCTATTCACGCATAGAGTGTTAAATGAAATGAGGATCAAAAGAGGGTGAATACTTTTTCACAAATTGGCAGTTACGGGGATGTAAAGTTACCATAAGGAATAGAGTCAATAATATTGTAACCATGTATGGTGCCAGGCAGATACTAGACCTATTGAGAGATTGCTCTGTAAGTTAAATAAATGTCTAACCACTATGCTGTCCACCCGAAACTAATCCTATATAATAGAACCCTAATATGCAAATCGACTGAATGGCGGAATGGCCGGTTGCTATGACATACACTGACCACCTGGGGGCAGATGCTCAACACAGGAGCTGCCCCCTGGTGGTCAGTGTGCTCCCACAGGGGGAGCACTCCTCAGCCAGAAGCTGGGCTCACCACTGGCAAGCACAGTAGCAGTAGCAGCAGCGCTAAGAACCCTGAGGGGTCCCAGACTGTAAGAGAGTGCAAGCCGGGCTGAGGTATAACCCCCGCCCCCACCACCAGGGCACGGATGTTGTGTACCAGGCCTCTAGTATAAAATACTATTTAATGTCAACTGTAATTGAAAAATAAAAATTTTAAAAAAAGGTAAATGCTAACATTCAGCCACTTGAATCTCTATCCTGAGATTCCGCTTCCTTTGCAACAGCTATAAATGAGGGTGGCAAGCCTTGTGTATGAGCGGGTGCTCGGTGGTTTGGACAGGCCTCCTAGAAGACTCCCCAATAGAAGGTTACCTTTGGGCACCTTGGCCCTCCACCGCTCCCGATTGACGTGCACGACCTCAGTCCAAGTGGCTTTGAAACTCTTGTACTCCATAGGGATGACGGAATTGTTGACTGGGGCACTTCCTTCTGAGCCTGCGCTCTTAACCCCCGATCGCTTTGCATCTGCCGAACTGAGGCTGTTCAAACTGGAGGAGGGGAATCACACACAAGAAATGAATCAGGCAAGATGGATTGGAAGAGGAGCATTCAGTGTTTGGGAAATGTATGCCTGTGAGCAGGCTCAAACGAGGAATGGTTAGCCATCATCGAGTTATTGCTGTGAAATTCCTGGGTCCTGAGGTTTGTAATTCTCATTTTCTACTTGTGACAGATGGGAAACTTTTAATTTTCAGCAGAAAAAGAAAATCAATATTTGAGCCTCCTGAGAAGCGATAGTCCCTACGTTTTGTTGTTGTTGTTGATTGGAAACCTCTTTTTTCAACATTACTAGAATCCCCTGTGTGATCTTTTCTGTCCTCAGCTTTCTGCAATCAATTAGTTTGAACTTGAACTTAAACTTGGTTCCACAGTTTATCCACCTGCTTCCTCTCTGACCACTATTCCAACTCACACAGTCACTTAGTCCTACTTCTCTCCAGCCATGCCTCCCCTGTAGTTTGGCACCTCTGATCCCTGGATCCCCGAGGCCCAGGCAGGGTGATTTCCTTATGTTCCTAGGGGAAGGGGGAGAGCAGTCATGCAAGAGACCTTTTTTATACCAATATTACTTTACGCTTTAAACATGAGATACTTCGCAAATTTAGAAAGTGCCATCCTTCTGGGTAACTTTAATGAAAAGTATCACACACTCCCAGGTGCCTAAGCAGTGACTGGCATGAATGCCAACCCACTGGATGACTCCCGAGGCTGACTCCATAAGCAGAGTACAGTACAGTTCAGCCCAGTGTCTGCAGAGCTGTGGGTTGTGGGACCTGGGCAGGGGCCTCAGTCCTCCTTGTTTGCAGCCTTGACTGGGCTCATCTGCCTTGAGTGTCCCTCGGGTCCCACTGTCCCAACATTCCTCTTGCCTTCCCACCGTACGGTTTGCTCCTCCTCTTGCTCTTTTCTGCTCTTTAGTCTTTTCATTCCATTTCTTTCCTTTCTCCTGTGTAACAAAGCCCAAGATTTTGCATGGACAGGAGGAGGGGCAGGGATACCACTAATAAAGGCTAAGTGTTAGCTCACGTGTAGCTGGCGCTTCCTCTGTGCTGGACCTTGTTGTAAGGGCTTTACCGAGATTGAACAACTCAGTTCATCCTCCCTGTAACCTCTAAGTCACATGTGTCAAACACAAGGCCCGCGGGCCAAATCCGTCCCGCCAGGCCTTGCAATGTGGCCCGCACCGTGCTGTCATCACTGCACTCCGCTGCGTTTCCATCACAATGACAGTTTATGACTGTTCAGTAAACCATTCGGCCCGCGATTTAGGCTGGATTTTAGATTTTGGCCCCTTCTCTGATTGAGTTCGACACCCCTACTCTAAGTACTATCATCCACATTTTCTCAGATGAGGAAACTGAGGCACAGCTAATAAGTAATGGGATCGGGATGGTTCAACCTGCCATGAGCAAAGCACCAAAAGAGAGAGAATGAGCGGGAGAGATGTGCTCTCCTGGGTACCTGCCAATCATCATTTAGACCAGTGGTCGGCAAACTGCGGCTCAAGAGCCATATGCAGCTCTTTGGCCCCTTGAGTGTGGCTCTTCCACAAAATACCCTGGCCTGGGCGAGTCTATTTTGAAGAAGTGGCGTTAGAAGAAGTTGTTTAAAAAAATTTGGCTCACAAAAGAAATTTCAATCGTTGTACTGTTGATATTTGGCTCTGTGGACTAAAAAGTTTGCCAACCACTGATTTAGACCATGGTCACTGCCTTCTAGGACTGCCCGGAGAGTGCAAACAATATAACTTCAACTCCTCTGAGAGAAGGAAAAGGCAGACAACTCTCTGATAGGAAGGGGGGAAGGCAAGCATCATTATGGCACACACCCCCATCCCTCCCAAAGAAGAGGCCAACTTGACCCCAGCCTTCGAGCTTCTCCACTGACCTTGATCGCCGCTGCCCTGACCCACCAGCCTGGGAGGTCTCCTCAATGAGCGGATTCACGATCTTCTCAGTCATGTCCGTGAGCACCGTGAAGGTGGGCTCCACGATGAAATCGATAAAACCTGCGGAGAAACAGCGACGCTCCAGGGAAACTGCATCCTCACTGGGCCTTTCTGCACTTCTCCCCGAAACGGAGGAGCGTTAGCTTTCAAATCCGCCTACGCAGGAGCCTCAGACCAGACTGGGGTCTCATTCACTTAATATGTTCCTTGATTTGAGGATTGTGAATCAGCTCTGCTTCTCCCACAGAATTTTCCTGACTTTTTAGTAGATTGTTCCAATCAAGTGCTTAAAAATATGAATTCAATGTCCACGATGCAACAAATGCTGTGATAGGCGCTGCATAAAAGACGAAGGTGTGTGGCATTCCCTGCCTGCCTTCTGTTTATAGGAGACATTAAAGGAGCACAAACATGACCCCTAGAGTCTCAGGAAAGAAAAAAAGAGAGAGCCAAAGCAGTGCCCCAAGTGTATCCCATCAGTATATGTTTAAGCCTCACCTAAAATGCTTTAGATACACCCTCACTTCCGACAGGGAAGAATGAATCGCATGCTATCTTTATACAATCCATAATTTGGGCCTGATTTTCTCTCTCAACATGTCTCTCGCTTCATTCTATTCTCTACCCACTATTCTAGCTACTCGGAACTGTTTGTAATTCCCTGCTTTTCCTATACTGTTTTAAATTTCCCTGCTTATTATATGCTAATCCTTTGTCTGAACTGCCCTCCAGCTGCCCCTAGCACACCTGTATTGCATAGCTCCATTTGTCTACTTATCTCTTAGGACCCAACTCAAATATCACCCCTCGACAAGTCTTTCTGAGCCTAGCGGCTCACATAACTCTGTTTAGCCCCAGATTACATGAAGCACAAAACTACCTTAACACTGTCACACTCCAGTGGGATTTATTTTCATAACATCTCGCCCACCACCAAATATTGGCTCCATGTCTTTGAGAGCAGGTACCATGTATAATTTGTCTTTAGTTTTTTTTTTAACAACTATTAATAGTGTCTAACAGTGTTCTACGCCTAACAGGGACTCAATGTGTGCATTGTTATTTAAAAAATGAGTTCTCAAAACACAAGTAGAAAAAAAATCAAATCCTTATTGAATTTATTTTTTGAATGATTTCAGATTCTTTTCAGCTGGAGGGCACTGTGACAATTTAGTGACACTAGGACTATCATAGCTGAGGATTTTTATAATGCACATACATTATGCTTAGTAGTAGTGCACGCAAAAGTTATTCTTACCACACAGAAAAGGTGCTCAAAAGTTTTTAGGAAGAAGGGAAGGTAAAAGGAACGAAGTGAGGAAGGGAAGAAGGAAGGGAAGAAGGAAGGAAGGAAGGAAGGAGGAAGGAAGGAAGGAAGGAAGGAAGGAAGGGAGGGAGGGAGGGAGGGAGGGAGGGAGGGAGGGAGGGAGGGAGGGAGGGAGGGAGGAAGAAAAAAGAAAAGGGAAGAAGGAGGGAGGGATGGAAAGAAGGGAGGAGGAAGGAAGGAAAGAAGGGAGGGGGCAAGGGAGGGGATTGGAAAGAGGGGTGGGGTGTCCTGCAGACATCCCTGAGGGAAGTGGCATGGCTGCATGAAAAATGGACTTCCTGCCACTGACTCCTGTCATCACCCTGAAAGTTGAGGCCCTTTTCTCTTGGCAGGAGATGATGGAGACGGCAATGTCACCGTCTAATCTCCCCATGAAACAGCCCATTTCGGGGAGAAGGGTGGGAACAGAGCTCCAGCAACCCACCAAGCCGAAGGCAGGAGCAGAGCACAGCAGATTGGAGCCGGGGAGGCACTGGGAGCCTCTGCCCTCACGGCCGGACACCCCCTCAGGTCTTTCCTTCTCTCCCAAGCCTGGCAAACACGTACCTACTTGCGACTGAGCAACCATGGTCGACTTCCGGTCACACAGAGGAGAAAAAGGCAGCCCCAACTCTGCTTCTCTGTCCCCCTAGAATCACAGGAGGCCACAGTGAGTTAAGAACAGTAGGCCAAGCCACCCAGATTTCATGCAGCAACTTCAGCTACCAGAAGGCCAGTAGCCTTTATTTTCATTATTACCATTACAAGTCCTTTTGGGGCCGTTTCTCTGCTGGCTCCATCCTTCCCTCCACTGCAGAGCGCCTGGCGTGGCACAGACGGCCTCACTGGGCCCACAGGTCCCCAAGGAAAGGACGGAAAGCAACACCGTCCTGTGTCCTGGGGCCAATATGGCACTCAGAGCTGCCACCTGTTTTCCAATTGTCTGTGTTGATACCTGAGGCCTCTCTTGAGCCAGTGACTTCCTCCCAGGTGCGGGCAGTGTTCAAGACACAAATTCAGCCCAGCAGGTATTGTTCAGTGGTTGAGCATGAACCAGGAGGTCATAGTTTGATTCCCAGTCAGGGCACATGCTCGGGTTGTGGGCTCGATCCCCAGTGGTGGGTCTGCAGGAGGCAGCCAATCAATGCTTCTCTCTCATCATTGATGTTTCTCTCTCCCTTCTTTTCTGAAATCAATAAAAATATATTTTTTAAAGAAGAAAACTTCAAACTGACTGATGTGAATCTCCTCTCCTTTGCTACCTAAAACCACACACAACTGGTGCGCGTGCTTCTGGGCTCTTAGCCGCAGGCCTGGGACCATAATGCAAAGTGGGCTGAGCAAGCAGAGCAGTAAGTAACTGCTTGTGTTAATGGAGTTAGAAAGTAACAAAACGTGATTCATAGTCTCACCAAAAAGCACCGCTGTAAGAAGCAGGTGCCATGGAAAGTCTAAGTAATGATGATGGTTTTTAAAAACCTGAACCAGAAGCTCAGCCCTTCAGTCACACACACCGAGGAAAGGGAACATGTCACCACATACTAATGGCCACCCCATTGTGTTCCTTCACTTTATTATGAAAGAATCTGCTGGCGTTAATGGCTACTGCCTTAGGCTTGACTCTGGCCATCCTCCCACTAGCTGTGTGATCAAAGAACGTTCACCTTCTCTCTCTATCTCTCAGTTTTTCAATCTGTAAAATTCAGAATAATAATCTTGGTGCATAGCAAAACCTCTGAGATTCATGATTAAACAAAAAAAAAAGACAAACACCTAGCCCTGTGTGCTCTAATATTAAACAGGTGGTACACAAAGAAATGAATAAAGTACTCAGCTCAGGGACTTAGCAAAAGAACAAATAAATTCAAATAGAAGAAAAGAATTAATAAAAGTGAAAATATCAAATAAAGTTTTATAATTTAAAAAAATAAACACAATGAAACAAAGAGCTAACTTCATAGAGAAGAAAGGGAAAACACTAATATATGAAATGAGAAATAAAAATGAGAAAATAATCACAGACACAGAGGAAATTCAAAGAATTACAGGGGACATCTACAAAATATAACATATACAGCAATACAGCAGAAAGGAACCCCAAGACTCTAACAACATTATTTTTCAAAAAGGCAAATGTACACTTCATTAAAGAAGGCACTTCATAAAAGCCAATATTTTACTGAAAAGCACCCTGAGGCTTGGATTTTGTAAAATAGGGTTATAAAACTAAAGATGTGCCCAGCTGACGTGGTTCAGTGGTTGAGCATCGACCTGTGAACCAGGAGGTCATAGTTTGATTCCCATTCAGGGCACAAGCCTAAGTCGTGGGCTCCATCCCGTGTGGGGAGTGCAGGCGGGCAGTTGATCAATGATTCTCTTTCATCTTTGATGTTCCTAGCTCTTTCTCCTGTCCCTTCCTCTCTGAAATAAATAAAAATATATTAAAAGGAAAAAAACTGAAGATCTAACTTATTTTTTTAGCAAAGCCTAAAAGGTCTAGTATTAATCTAAGCCCTTATCTTGAAATATAATCCAACTTCCAAATGTATTTCTTTTTCAAGAATTCTAAGGTCTCATTGAGAGTTCCCATTTGCACTGTCCAGTTTAAAACCTACAGCTAAGAGTGAGGCAACACTTCTATTAAGTGGGTTACTTACAATGGCCTTATGACATCTAGGTTAAAATATTAAATCAATAAAAATAATTTACTGAATCATAATTACTAAAAAAAACATTCTGGTGCTGTGAGCTAACATTCCATTCCCAAAGGCAAGAAATTCAATATGGCTCTTTTCACATTGCCTCTAGCATATTTTCATTCAATTCAAGCATATGTGTATGCAAACAAGGTTTCCTTTATGGGAAAAATGTTCAAATATTTAAGTAATTTCTCATATTCACTCTCTCACAATTAAAAAAAGAAATCAATAACTCAAACTTATATGAGTTAGCTATGATCTAACTTTGGCTGCAGATCAAATACTATTAGCCATGGGTGTGTATTGCAAAAGCAGCATCAAAGAAAGCATATGATAAGGGAAGTGGATGTTTGGAGAAAATAGTCTCACTCATATTAGAAAAATAGCTTCTGGGAAAATGGTTCAAAATTAACTCTCGATTAAGGGTGAATTTGCAGTTATTCTCGTATATTCAACAGAGCCGCACCTGTACTATTCCAGTTCCTCCCATGCAATCAGATTCTCCTTGAGAACTACTCTGTGAGGCCAAGCAGTGACTGCAAGAGGAAACAGCCATATCCTGAATGGGGTACCTGTTGCTGTATTCATATAACAATTTAGGGGGTTGTTCATATGGGTTGATATGCACCATAGACAAAATGAAGAAACTGTAGAACACTTAATGCTGAAAGTACCTTAAAAAAAAAACAAACATCTAGTTTAAGCTTCCTTTTAGTTCCACCAACTCCTCCTATCCTCCCTCACAAAAAAAACAACAACAACAACAAAAAAAATCACAAATAAGACCATTGAAAAATAATTTAGTTAGTCCTGGGCCTCAAACCAGCTGGAATAAAAAAAACTCCAATAAAAGACCTTCTGGACTTTAATATGCTGTTAGCTCTAGTCCCACTTCATTTCCAGATATTGTGCACAAGTTCAGAAGAAGAGCAATACTTGGATGCCTTCTACAATTTCTCCATTTAAACTAGAAGCATAAAAATAAGAGTAATTCCCTTCCAAAAACCTGAGTAACCAGTGAAAGAGCATATCTCTTGTTACTTTAGGAGACAAAGTTGAGACTAATGTTCAGTAGTATTTTGTGGGATATCAGCCTTCTCCGAATCTATGATGTGAATCTCCCTTCTTGAATTAGTAAGAATTAACAGCATTAACTTGAATTAACTCTAATTTAGGTCCCACCATCTACATGACCCACTGCCTTTGTGAAGAAGAAAAAAATGGGGACTATATAATAAATATAACTGAGAGTGACCTCACAAGATGATCTGATCAGACATTCCTAACTGGGCAGGTCATGGTGGACAGTCACACCCCAGGCCTATAACTTCTTTAGGGAAAGGTTTATGCTTGCCTTAAGCAAGTCCCATCCATTGTTTCTGTGCATCTAGGTTCACACCTTGGGAACACCTCTTTTTCATAACCACCCTCAAGAGAGCACAAAGTCTTGTTAACTATCCTGTAATTCCAATCCTCTCTTTGATTTATCCCACCTTCATGTTATCTTCCTTACATTCCCTCCTTAATTCCAAATATGTAAAGGAAACTGCAAAACTATCATTCTACAGGGCATTTGAGATTTTGCTCTTGGCAATTGTTGTCAGTTTGACTCAGAGATCTGAATGTTTCTTATGTCAACTCCTTCAACCTCAGGACCTCACATCTCAAAGCAGATGTTTTAATGGCAACTCTTCTTGAGAAGATATCAGCCTTTTTAAAAATATTTTTTGTTGATTTTAGAGAGGAAGGAAGAAAGAGGTAGAAACATCGATTATAAGAGAATCATTGATCAGCTGCCTCTTGCACACCCCACATTGGGGATCAAGCCCACAACCCGGGCATGTGCCTTGACTGGGAATTGAATCAAGACCTACTAGTTCATAGGTTGACACTCAACCACTGAGACATGCCAGCCAGGCGAGAAGATATCAACCTTACTGCAACACATTTACTTTCCTGTCTATCCTACCTTTGTGCACCTTTAAAAACATTTTTTAAAGCAATGTACACCCATAAAAGTGCCTGGTATTTCTTTCAGAAAACACAGCCCTGTGTCTTGGGTGTAATAAAGTTAAATATAATTTAAACCTTGGCTTTTAGTGATTTCCTGACCCCAAATTACCACACCGGGCTTTGGAATTTGACAATATGGTTTGCCAGCTCAAAAGAAACAACCCAACCAATTATAACAGTAAAAGATTAACATCTTAATCCCACAGGAGAATGCCAAACTGGTCAACATTTGCCCAACCCATTAGAAAAATACATAAACCAAAGGGCTCCTCCGATGATATTTACAAAACACTACCACAAGAAACTGCTTTTTCTTTTTGCAAATAGAAATGCATAAGATAGAAGTATGTTCTGAGAGTCAGAATGTAAGATTCAAACATTACTTGACCAGGAGGCAAAAAAAATAAAAAAATAAAAAATCTGAAAACTCTCCCTCCTCAAGAAAATTACTGTGATCTCATAGCATTGCTGAAATAAGAAATTCAGAAACTATTTGGTGATGAAAGCCCTGAGGGGTAGCACAAGGTACCTGTCTGAAGAATTCCTCCAGCAGTGACATCGTCCAGCGATGATGGAGCTCCCACTCCTTCGCTGGATGGCTGATGTCTGCTGTGTGCAGCATCAGGGACAATGCTTTTGGCTTTTCAATCCTGTACACCAAAAGGAGCCAAGCACATGCTGATCAAGCTCTCAGAATCTCAATGTTTCTTTAAAACAGCATTAATTTTTTAATCCCTTCCATTCCCTTATATCAAGCCCCACTTCAGCTGAGGGAAAAGCATCACATCACCCTACAACTGGAATATTCCACCAGCTAGGTCTCCATGGGTATGGAGTGGACACTTTAAAAACTGAATCAAATGCAGAGACAAAGAAACAGGTCACAAAAGAAATGGAGGGAGGAAAAAAATGACTCGAAACTATTTCTGCAATGACTGGCTCATTCAAAAAGACAAAAACCCAACCAAGAGTCACTCACTGACTTGTGTGTGTCACCTCTGCATTGAGTAGATCTTTGATAATTTGGTTTCCTGCACGGAAATATTTTCAATTCTAATTGGGACAGATTATTTTGGCCCCTTTAATGTATTTCAACCCTGATAAGAATCTGAGATATATACAATTCTCATGCTCTTTCCTCCAAATATCCTCAGTTACTATGAGACTTTTCGACAAAGTTCTCCGAAGGAGGTACATTTTAAAGGAGCAATGACATGGTTCCAGTTCCAGCTTAAACACCTATAAAAACCAAGTGACACAGATACACTCACGCTTCTGGCTGCTGCAGAGCAGTTTTCATCGCCTTGATCTGTTGGAAATGACAGGACATATCCGTGGCCATCACCATCTCAATTACCAAGGTCCGAAATTCCCTTTCAGGGACACCCCAAGGAGAAAAAAGGTTAAAGTCAAATATGGAAAATAAAAATTAGTTTATTTTTTTGCCTCTTTCAATCAAAATCAGTTAAATAGTTGTGACATTTGTAACCTAACTTGAGCCCGAAACTGTCTCACAGGTCCCTAAACTACTCATGTCTCCTAATCTTCAAACTGGATAATATTAATTGATGTTTTCAAGTTCACTGATTCTTTCCTCTGTCTTCTCCAACTTGCTACTAAGCCAGAATAGTAATTTTCCAATTTAAATATTTGACTTGTTAGTTCTAAAATTTGTTTGCTCTTGTTTATATTTTCATTCCACTGGTTCAATTTCACTGTATTTTATTACAAGCATATTAACCTTTATCTCACTGAGCATAAATAGAAGAACTGCTTTAAAAGTCCTAGTCTGACCATTCAAACAATAGTTCATCTGAGAGACTGCATCTATTGATTGTCTTTTCCCCTGCAAATAAGTCACATTTTCCTGTTCTTTGCATGCCATTTAGATGGTCACAGAATTTGAGCTTCCCTTTATTTTTTGACTCTCACTCGATAGCAGCTCTGGATGTTACTACTCTGGTCTCTCTAGCCAGAAAAATAGTGAAGGTCTTTGTATAAATATGGTTTTAGCCAATTAGTGCTGTTATCTTGACATAGACTGTCTTTAGGGTGAAGTCACAAAAATATCACACTCACTTCTTCCCATCACAGTCTCCAGGTATGGACACCCCTTCAAAATGTGCCTACTTTTGTTCACTCTCAAGTCAGTGGGGTTGTGTTTATTTTATTTAATCATAGTTTATAGCCATTATGTGCAGGAGGATTGGCTTATTAGCAGATTATCCAGCCTGCTCAAAGTTGAATGCCATGTTATTGGACACACCACTTTGAAATGTGGTAAATAAGTGGTAACATATTCATTTACAAAAGTCCTAAAAGGTCAAATGCACTTATGTATCCAAACAAATCTACCAGGTATTAAAATTGTTTTCCTACAAAGAAACAGGATACTAAACATAAGTTATCTTTCAGTTAATAGATTTCTTCAAAGCAGCACACTTCATCTCTCCTCACCATTCCTTTTCTGGCCTCCCTGTCTCATCCTCACCTCCAGTCATCCTTGGAGAGGTTGATCAAAATATTCATTTCCTCATCCTCTTGCAGAAGGCGATAAACTGCACTTAAGTGATGGTTTTCCAATACAGACTTATCGTTGTACAGAATAGCTGGGTCAGACCTGAACAGAAATCCAAAAAATAATCTAGTATGTTAAACCGTTGAGACATTTCAGGTTAATGCTTTCAAGCTAGAATACACCATCTCTTTTTCCTGTGTTTAGCAATTACTTTTGTCCCGATGCCATTTATATCAACAAAAAGAAGCTAAAACTAATACTGTAAATGATCAATTGATATACGTAGGGTATTTTAATGTCAATATGTGATATAAAATAGGTGCCACCTAATCTGAGAACTCTCTGAAAACTGTTCATAACCAGACCTCCATGATTTTTGCTGGCAGCAGCAAAAGTGATTTTTTTTTAATGTGGGTCAAGTCAAACTTCCTTATATTTTCTATTGATAGAACAACTTTAATTTATTTTTTTATTAAATAAAATAATTTGCCGAAACCGGTTTGGCTCAATGGATAGAGCGTCGGCTTGGGGACTGAAAGGTCCCAGGTTCGATTCCGGTCAAGGGCATGTACCTTGGTTGCGGGCATATCCCCAGTAGGGGGTGTGCAAGAGGCAGCTGATGATGACTCTCTCTCGATGTTTCTAACTCTCTATCTCTCTATTCCTTTCTGTACAAAATCAATAAAAATATATTTTAAAAAATAAATAAATAAATAATTTGTTTTATCTCTAATTCTCTGGACATACCACCTGGCAGGTACAGCTTGCAAATTTCTCTGGTAGTAGCTTGATCTTAAAATTCGTTATTTTTTGTTAATCCTCACCAGAGTATATTTTTCCATTGATTTTTAGAGAGATTAGAGGGAGGGGAAAATACAGAGAGAGGAACATCGATGTGAGAGACACATTGGCTGGCTGCCTCCTGCACACACCCCAACAGGAGCCAGGGATTGAGCCTGCAGTGGAGGTACATGTCCTTGACAGGAATCAAACCTGGGACCCTTCAGTCCGTAGGCCCATGCTCTATCCCCTGAGCTAAACCAGCCAAGGCTGATCTTAAAATGTTACCATGCAGAAGCCATACACAGAAAACAGAGTGAAGAATATAAGGATTATATGACAACTGTTAGTCACTTTTCAAAGACCATTCCACAATTGAATGACAGCAAACACAGAGCTGTATACTATTAATATTTCCATATCCTTAACTTAATGAAATCTGAGATTATTACAGCCTATTGGTTTCTCATCAAGGAAGCTAAGTCCCAGAGATGTTAAGTGACTCTGCAGAGCCCCGCAGAGTCAGGGTTGGAATAAAGGTGAGATCTCTGACAGTAGGGCCACTGTCCCCCAAGATAACTTCTATCGATACCTGTCATTGGCCAAACTTTGAAATTTTCTAGCACACCTTTAAAGTGTTAGACTTAACATACCATCCAAGGACAAAGGACCTGGTCACAGACTTGGTTTTGGGGGCACACAGGCTGGGATGCTTTAGATAAAGTTCTGTTAGAGAAACCAATGTCTACACTTCACTCCAAACCATGCTTAACTGAGCCCATTGGAGTTTTCCCACTCCTATGAAGATACAGCACAAAACACACAAATCCTGGGGCATGCCATCTGACCTTGTGCCTGCTAGGTAAGGAAGGCACTAACAGATGTGTGTTTTGTGACATTAAGCCATTTTCTAACTCCTGAAATTAATCTCCCTCTGCACTGGGACCATTGGCCTCCAGCCATCATCCAGGTATGGTTCTTCCATCCACCTCGCCCCCTTCGGCAGGTGCTACTCTCAGTCCTCGGAGCAAAGGTTCCACTCTGTGTCTAAAGACCTTGCAATAGGACCTTAAGACTGTTTTTGCAGCAGCTGAGACTGCTCTACATGAGGCAGAAAATGAAGTGAACTGCTTAAGTCCTTTTGTCCGCTTTCATTCTATTGAAATTCCCCTTCTGAACACAGATCAGAGGATACTGCCGTCCTTTGTGTACCCCACAATTAAGTGCCGGGTTCATTAAACTCATGCGGATGGATTTATGAACACAAACCTATCTGAACTGTGCACCTGCTGGTTCAGTGAAATCAGCAGGTATTTTTTGGTGTTAAACTCGCCCCTCCCCTTATCTTCTTTCTCTTTGCCTTGTCACCTTTCCCCAAATTCTAGCTTCTTTTTTTTTGTTGTTGTTGCTAATCTTCACTCAAGGATATTTTTCCTTTTTTATTTTTTTAGAGAGAGTCGGAGAGGGAAGAGACAAAGAAAAACATTGATCTGAGAAAGACACACCGATTGGTTGCCTCCCACAGGAGCCCCGACCAGGCCCAAGGATAGAGCCTACAAACAAGGTACATGCCCTTGACCGGAATCCAACCCAGGACCCTTCAGTCCGAGGGCCGACACTCTATCCACTGAGCCAAACCAGCTAGGGCCTCACTTCTTTTGATCCCTATATCAAGGCCCAGTTAACCCTGCTGTCAGATTCTCTCTAGTTCTGCATCTTTGTCTTAGAGAAGGTAAGTTCTGAGTTCAAGAGAGGGCAGATAAGGTTTCATCCTAAATGCAAATGACAATTGATTGGTACAGCTGCCTGGGATTCTACAAGAGGACTACAGCTAGTAAGAAAAAAATACCCAAATTGATTAGTGATGTCTGTGACAGACAACAGGTTCACAGTTGGGCACTTAGACCCGTACTTAATATCCTCACAGAGGTTTGTGTTTACCTGTGCAGTTTGTTAGGGAGGGTGCATAAGTTGCCCATGGTGAATGGCCTGCATGAGACATTCACCATGGGCAACTTGGTGGTCCTAGCTCCGCAAACCTGTGCCTCTGAACTGAGCAGAGATGGAATTAGGGAGACTGGGATGAGCACCACCAGAATCCCAGAGATCAGAGGGTGAGAAGGCTTGGTTATCCTTCACGTCAACAAAGATACTCCCGTCCTTGCAGTCCCCACTGATTGAGTCTACCTGGCACCTGTGCCTTTCTGTACACTGCTCCAGCTCCTATTAAAAATAAGTAACAAGGAGCAGGCATTAGAATAGAGGAAAGGGAAATGCATATTAGATGCATCTCTCACCAATAGTAGCAACTGCTACTATTGGTGAGAGAAAATATAAGGATTAGGAGCAGACAGCTTTATCCTTTAAGTCTTAATCTAAGCTCACCCAGCTGGTCTCTTGTTTAAAATTTGTTTTTCCAGCCCAGCCAGTGGCTGCAGCTCAGTGATTAAGTGTCGACTTGTTAACCAGGAGGTCCCAGTTTAATTCCCATCAGGGCACATGCCTGGGTTGAGGGCTCAGTCCCCAATGTAGGTTGTGCAGGAGGCAGCCAATCAATGATTCTCTCTCATCATTGGTGTTTCCATCTTTCCCTCCTTTTCCTTTCCTCTCGTAAAATCAATAAAAATATATTTAAAAAATTTTAATTCATTTTTCCAGAAACTCAAAATAGAGCAACCATACAAAAGAACCTTGCTGGCTTATAAAACTCTCTCCTTGACCCCTCTTTCCTCTCCTCCACACATCTCAACATCCTCACCGGGTCTGGATGTGGAAGTTGTTGGTGGTTCCTGTGTGCTCATAGTCATGGATGGCAGCTGAGAAGATGATAGCGAAAATCTCCAGCTCCGTCAGCCAGTTCTGAAAGGGAGATTACAGAGCAATCAGATAATGTGTCTCTTTCTGACTTCAGTTTGCTGACAACACACCCGCATTACTGTCTTTCCACCCTGCAGCTGGTCAGCTCTTGCCAGACACATGTTTTTGGAAAGAGAGAAATGGTGTTTTTCTTCTGTGCAGAGATAAGGGACACGTGAATTGAAAACAGCATGCCTGCCCTGGCCGGTATGGCTCACTTGGTGAGCCTCATCCCATGCACCAAAAGGTCACCAGTTCTATTTCCAGTCAGGGCACATGCCCGGGTTGTGGGCTTGATCCCCAGGAGGGAGTGTGCAGAAGGCAGAAAACAATGAACATGCAGATATTAAAAGCCCTCATCATATCCTCTCTCAAATTCCAAAGTTCCAAATAGACGCAGAAAAAAATTAAAATTTTAAATATGATACCAAGCTGTAGGTGTAACAGAAAACCTAATGCCTGCCCACTTGAAGGTGGATAGGTAGAGAGACAGATGGAAAGGTAACACCTGGCCTCCCACCTTATGCATGCTCAAATCTGAAGAGACTTGTCCCCATTCACTCTACCAACACTGGCTGTAGTTCAATGGACTTCAAAGCGGTTCCTTGGAACAGCAGAGTTTGCATCACCTGTGTTTCACAAGCCACCCAAATAGTTCTGATGCACGGTAGAGTTCGAGAAGCATTTGAAGCTTGAGTGACATCCGTCTCAGAGGCTCTATGGATTCATTGACGCTTCCCACCCTTTATGTAAACCATTCTGCCCAATGTCCACATGACCAAATATCCATCACTGCTAGCTGCCCTTTAGTACCCTCTGCTCACTTTCGTAACTAATTGAATTGATGCTTTTAAGTTTCACTGTGGCTTATTCCAAACCCTATTTTAACCAATTGAACTGTTATCATAATTATGTAATTAAATATGACACAAGCCAATAAAATATGAACTAAAAATAGAGTTATATCCATAGAACCTAAGCTCAATGTGATAGACAGTCACTAAAAAATTGTCAAAATAGGTGAGACGTCGGCAGAGTGTGGCTGGCTGGCTGGATGCTCTGGTCGGTAGGTAGCCCGTGTGGCTGAAATGAAGGTGTTAGGGAGCCTGCATTCCTTTCCGAAGCTCTGTGGGAAAGTCTGCCTTCAGGAACATTCAAGGCATTGGCAATTCATTTCCTTCTCATGCTTTCCATGGGCTCTCTCCCTCTTCAAGCTAGCACTCTCTTCTGCCCCACCTGCTGCCTTTTAAGGTTTAATAACCTTCATTGTACCCCCAAAGTCCCTTTTTCCATGACATATTAACAAGTGTGACAACTCATAAGAAGTTAAAGGTCATGTGGGCCAAAACTCTGCTGACCACGAAGACTAATAAAATAACTTGGCACTCTTGAACTAGGATGCTATTTAGAAGTCTTGACATTTCCCTTATAAATATGATGACATCATCTATGATCAAGAGAACAAGATGCACAGCTTCTCTCCTCTTAAAAAATAAGCAAAAGAAAATTAATGGCACCTTGGCCAACAAATGCAACAAAAGAGGCCAAGGGGTTGCTTTGGGGTTTGGATTCTTTTGACCTAAATCAAAAGCTGACTGGAGCTCAGGGTCTGATTCCTGTCTATGCAATCAGAAACCCTTCAGCCCGGTTCTGTTCAAAGATTGTTTCTTAGAAGGGAGCCAAATAAATCTGAAAGGATCCAGGCATGTGCCAGGCATGTGAGCTAAGCAGTGATGAGTGATTTACACAGATCACAATGAGTCGATGTTGAGGCCCAGGCAGCGCTTTGTCAGTGGGATGTTTTGATTCCCCGTGTGTCTCACACTTTATAAAACTGGGGTGATTTAAAGCGTTTCCCCCCTCTTGGTTTGTAATGAAAGGTTAGAGTGGCAATGTACTCTCCATTCATCAGATTGCTTCCCACTACTTTTGTAAGCTTGCAGTGAAAGATGTTTGTTTTGAGTTGCATTTCGGAGAGAGAGAGAGAGTAGGTGAGCAGCAGTTTCTATATTTAGGAATTATTCTGCATATGGCCTGAACTGATCATAAAAATTCAATGGCAAATAAGCGCAATTAAGAACATTATGCAGTACGTCATGGTCATTGGCTGCTATGATATAACATTTATGTTAATGATAACTTGCATTTGCATAAATGCTTGGGAATTTTTCGTGAGAGCTAAAAAAAAAAAAAAATCTGTGCATAATTCACCTTTATATCTCCATAGTATATACACAGTAGGAATTAGCTAAATATATGTTGAATAAATAAGTCCAAAGTACATCTTCACATCATATTTCTGATACTTTATTCCAAACTGTCACAGCACTTCTACAAGATAGAGTCTTTTTTTACCATTTTAGAAATGAGGAAATCCTGACTCAGAGAGTCAAGCAATTCATCATAGGTCACAGTCTAATAAGTAATTAAATAAAGATTTCTATCCAACTATATCTAGCTCCAAAGCTCACACTCCTTCCACTGTATCCCATTTTTAATTCAGTGAGAAATTAGATCAAGTCATTCAACATGTCCTTGCTGAAAAGATAATAAATGTGTACTGGGCTTATGGGCTAATGAATAACCATACCTACAGGATGTCTATCTCTGAAGAAGATTTCAAAGTAAAGAGGCATAGAGACCAACCATAGAGACATAGCTGTTTGTGCAATCCTAGCGTTCCCATCTGTACTCACAGCGACTCCTGTCTTATAGAGGAGGTAGTGCACTGTCTGTGTGACATCCGCAGCATGCACTAAATTGTGGTAAGGATTTTTATGCTTGCTGTATCCCACTTCCAGGGCCTCCACAAATGAGACGAGCGCAGAAATGGGGATCTGAAAAAGAGTAGTAAGTTTAATGGGCTAGTGGTTTAGTAGCTTTAAATTAAGAAGAAGAAGAAAAAAAAAACATTACACAGGATCAGCTCAAAGACATGTAGGGCAGAAGGGTATGGGTTCATTTATTCCTCGAGCAAAGGTCTGGGTCTTTCATTTCTCAAGAAAAAATTAGCACATACTATGCAGTGCATCTTTTTTACTTATGACAAAACATAAAGTATGCTGAGATCTTAGGTTATTAAATAATTGCAAAACAAATGCAAGCTGCCACCTCTGGAAAACTGCACTGTTTAGGGAAAGTGATTGCATGTATGGACATGTTAAAAATAAAAAAGACATCGTCTGTTATATATGGAAATAGAAACAACCTGTGTCCTTATGTCTATTACTTGACAATTTATTATAGGTGCCTTGCAATGTGGAATAATATTTCCAATTAGCCTAATTGCTTTTCAGTCTCAAGTATGTATAAATATATCCCTTCTTTTTCTATGTGACTGAAAGTAAAGGACAATTGCAAAATATAGAAAATAAAGGCTCCCTTATGACAGTTATTGGGTAAGTTTTGGGATCAGTTCCTTGGTTTGGGATAAATTATCAAGTTCAAGACTGGAGGGAAAAGGAAAGAGTGCATGTTTCTGGAGAGTAAACATCACATCGGGAAGAAAAAATGAGGACAGTACTCTTAGGATGCTTTGCGAGGGCCCATAACATATTCTTCCTGGTGCCCAGTCTTCTATGCTTTGGCTTTAAAAATTTATGCCCTGACCAGTTTGGCTCAGTGATAGAGCATTGGCCTGCAAACTGAAGGGTCCCAGGTTCGATTCTAGTCAAGGGCATATACCTTGGTTGCGGGCAAATCCCCAGTAGAGGGTGTTTAGGAGGCAGCTGATCAATGTTTCTCTCTCATCGATGTTTCTAGCACTCTATCCCTCTCCCTTCCTCTCTGTAAATAAATAAATAAATAAATAAATAAATAAATAAATAAAATATATATTTTAAAACATTTAAACATTGCCTTGCAGATGTCAAAGATCAATTTTCATTTTTTAAAATAAAGTACCAAGAAACCTAGCTTCTTGGGGCTGTTCATGAGAGGTCTGTGAACCACTGAAATTCATGGAGCTTTGCTCTAAGGACAGTGTCTCAGGCATTCACTGGATTTTCAAGCAAGTTTCTGGTGCAAAAAATAAGGACCGCTGCCATCAAATATAGCTATGTAAGAAATCCCCCCAAATACACAGTCCTTCGGAAAGTGCTAAGGACCCATGCTGTCCAGAGAAGTTAATGCTTTATAGAGAAAAAGGCCTGCATTTTCCAGAGGCTCATCCCTAGCATGAAGTACGTCTGAGAAACATAATATGACAGATGTCAGCCCATGAATTCTCAGGTGACCTAGAGAAGCCGGCCCGACCTCCAGACGCTACGAGTGAGGGGGTGAAGGGATTGCATGCTGGAAACTATTCCCGCTCTCTGCTTAAGGCTAAAGAATTCACTGGAAGCATGAATGGCTGGGCAATACCAATGACCTGTCAAGATGATAAGCGAGGGTATTTGTCTGCATTTGAGTCAAGTGACAGGGGAAAAAAGTCTGCAGAGGCAGCAGTCCTGCATTCTGTCTCTATCAGTCTCTTCCCACTGATGGTACAAGAATGTACATGAAATCCAGTCTCCCAGCTGATGGAGGAGAGTTTACATGAAGTCAGGCTTAATGAGATCAGTGAGCAGAGCTACGGGGAGTTCTGCTAGTGCAAGCTTCCAGTGGTACTCCCCAGGAAGTCTGGGATTCAAACGTGAGACTCCAGCCTCTCCCGGGCCAAGGAGCCCCACCAGGCAGGGGAGTAACAAAAACTTCTCACCACAGAGGAGCCCGTATCAGCGACTGTCCAGACGATGCGTCACCAAGTCACCCCGAGCAGTTTGGGGTCTGTATTAAAAGGATTCTCTTGGCCTCGGCCCCCAAATCATACAAAGACAGATAAATGTGTGGTGGCCGTGTTTTCCATTAGGCACTGACCTTGAAGCGGCTGATCAAATCGTAGCGTGTGAGTAATTCATAGAAAATGAATTTCAGTGCATGGTCCCCGCTGGCTTCGTTGAGAGAGAAGACATCGAAGGACCACCTGTCCACATCCTGCAGGCCCCGGCAGGGAGAAAGATGCATTAGTCCACAGCCGCCAATTTCTCCCTGGGGAGTCGGCCTGGGGTTTCACATTCTCACACTTTTCCAACCTGGCAGGCCTACATAGCATTTACTGATCAAATATTAAATAGTCTTATAACTAATAACAGCAGCTATAATTTATTGAGTGCCTACCATATCTAGGCATCATGACCAGTAATAAATACATAATTTATTTTGAAAACCACTCTCAGGGATAGGTTTTATTACTCACATCTTACAGATGAGAAAACTGAGAAGTGACCTCATTTCCCTAAAGCCCCATCACAAGTAAGTGTAGGGGAGGACACGATGCAACCAGCACACAAACACATGGTCACCCTAAGCTCGGGCTCTGTCCATTAACCCTCCCACTCCCTACCCCAGCTGAATTTCAAATGCTTAATTCATTGACAACAAACTTTAGTGCTCCCCTTCTCTGAACTTCTCCCCAATCCCTTGATGCCATGTGCAGACTTCCTCTTAGTCCACAGTTGAGGATAGCAACCCACTTTAAAGTGCTCAGAAACACGATATAGAATGCAAAACAACATGTCACTTTAATCCAAACTGCTGAGCTGGACCCAAGGAGAAAGCCTATAATGCATGGGTCAGAAAAATGTCACCACTTCTGGTCCTCGAATCTGTAAGTCACCCCACTGAAAAAAAGTAAAACTAAGGCCTAAGCTGAACACACACCTCATCTACTATTTTTTTTTTAAAGTTCAAAGTCTTGTTTGTCTATAAATAGCTACTCCAGAATATATAAATACTGCCTGATGTGTCTTAGACTTCTAACCAGCTATTTATAAACAAAGGTGTGTTTAACCAACAGGTTAAGCAACAGTCTCACTTTCTCACTATGACAGAGTCTCGCTTTCAGTAGAAAAAGTGTACGGCTGTGAGTTTGACAGTAAGGAGCCATGTGAGGCCACATGGAGTCCGGGCAGTGTGTCAGATGGTGCCTGGGTAAGACCTGGGCTATCAGGAACCACTGGCCTGAGTGGCTCTCATCTCAGCCCTCACTGCATCCCAACATCACCCATCCATCCCAATCCTATCTCTCCAAACATCCCACTGTCAAGATCATCCCAAGGTCATCAAGGTTCTTTCTCGTGGACCAGCGCACAGAAAAACTGAATCATTTACAAGGGAAACCAATTTTTTCCAAAACAAATTGTTTTAATTCATACCAATGGTAACCTCACCTCCATTTTCAATATTTTTCCTCCATTATAATAACTAAAGAAATCGCTACAAGTATTGAGCACATTTTTTTTTTTTGTACCAGGCACAGTGTAAGATAATTTATCTACATTTGCAATTCCTCGCAAGTCTGGAAGGAGGTGTTACTCTCCCTAGATTTACAGATGGAACCTCAGAGAGATGAAATAAAGAGTCTATTCAGTAGCAGAACCAGATATTAACTCCTGTGACACCACTTAGCCATAGCTTTGACGGCAGATGACATTGTAAACTCCATGAATGTAAGCTATAACCCAGGTCTCATAAAAACCCCAATAGGATTCAGACCATAGATGGTGGGGCCATTTAAGCATAACCCAAGAACTGAACCTTCACCCTGATTACTAGAATTGCCATTGCCATGACATCCATCCTCTGATCATTAGTCCTAAAGAAAAGTCCTCTGACTACTCAGTAGGTGGTTCAACATTTTGTCATGTCTAACAATTTTTAATCCTATTCTCCAAGATGAGTAAAAAAAGAGAGAGAGAGAGGGGGGAAAATATTACATTTTTAAAGGTCTTGAACTTTCCCAGTGAACAGGAGACAACACCAAGAGGAAAATCTGTTTTAACCTTGTGCACATGTCAGTAATTCTTGTGAAGAAGGATAGCAATTCAGAGAGTTAGGACTTACTCCTTGTCTGAATCACCTAGGTACCCTCCCCTCAGAAATACATGTGTACATTTGAGAATTGCTTTTCCCTGAGCATAAAATAACCATCGTGCACGTCACATGTTCTACATTTCCTGCAGTTATTCTACATAGACAAGGTGCTTCAATTTGGAAGACATAGTCTCATAAATTTCTTAGTGCCTGTATAATCACCTGTATTTATGTTCCCAATAAAGGAAGGAATTAAAAATAAAAGATGCTTTTAATGTTCCTAAGACTCACTCAATGTTTCAGGTTCAATTATGAAAATCCATGCATCTTCAGAATGGATGTTATGAAAAATCAAATCTTATGTGAATTGATTTCACTGATTAAATGGGAAATGTCACTGTAAATCACATTGATATATTAGACATTAAAGTGGGAGTTGAAGAGGAGTGAGAGAAAACGTGTCTCCTTGCTGTATCCTTCTTGAGTATCTTTCCTATTCTTACGATGAATTGAGATGATATATTGAATTGTTAAGGACAGATACTACACTTGATCTTAGCCAAAAAGCCAAGAGGCAATTCACCTGTGAGAATGGCTATTGTCAACAAGACAACTTATAATAGGTATTGGAAAGATTGTAGAGAAAAGGGAACCCTCATACACTGCTGGTGGGAACGTAAATTGGTACAGCCCTTATGGCATGGAGGTTCCTTAAAAATAAGATTAGAGTTACCACATGCACCAACAATCCCTCCTCTGGGTACCTATCCAGCCACAAGAACAGATGAAATACTGCCATTTTTAACAACACGGTTGGATCTTAAGAATATCATGCTAAGTGAAATAAATCAGTTGGAAAAAGTCAAGAACCATATGATTGTACTCATATGTGGGATATAAAACTGAAGACAACAAACAAACGAGACAAAAAAAACAAAAACTCAAAGACAAAGAGAACAGTATGGTAATTACCAAAGGGAAAGGGAAGTAGGGAAGAAATATCATCCCAAGAAATTCAATAAAGTTTAAAAGAAAAAGTGACAGAAAATGGAGAACATAGACAACAGAAAAGAACTATAAAATATATAAACGAAATGGCCCTAAAAGACTTTTTCTTGACATTATGTTGATCAAGAATCACTCCCACCACCGATCCCATGAATAGGTCATTTAAGTTATATTCTGAAAATATCATCAGGTTTCAGAGAAAGACAAGAACAGCTTTAACCATAGTCAGAATGCTGGGACATCCTTGAACAAGTGGATGCAACTCCATGTGTAGACACCATGCAATGTCAACCAGCCCAGTGATCCTGGGCCTTAGCACAGCGCATCCTCAAATCCACAAGCCAAATCAGCTTCAACACAGCGGGGATACCCTCAGACCAGTGGAAGGGAATCAGCACACACCCAGAGGAATATATCTGCTCTGGGACTCTTAGAAATATTCTGTGCAATTCCAAGAGCTTGTCTCATTGGGAGCAATTCTACCGGTTTTAGACCATTTAAACTCAAACATCCCCATGACTTCAAATGGGACTTGGGGGCTCAGTGGAAGTCTAGGGAAAACAGGAGAGCATATGGAGAAGATCAGAGCTGTGGGACCTATGTTCAATGCCATTATTTATGGCTTATTGTATACCTGGAAATCTGGTATCAAACTTTAGTCCTGCCCCTAATTAATGGTCTTGTTTTAAAAAAAAAATCTCACTGAGTCTCAGTTTATTCATCTATAAAATGGACTTAGAGTAGAAAATCATATAATGGTGTAATAATGATCACCAAAGATCTTCCTGATGTTCAATATTTATAATCAGATCAAATTTGATCTCCTTTGGCCAAAGTCAGCATGAGCCCATAATGAAGTGACTCCAAGGAAGTGGAGAAATATGAAATGCACAGAGTTTGATTTAATAAAAGAATTAGCAAGATGAAGGCTAAAAAGATAGTGATACCATTTAAACAGATAAGTAAAAGATAATAAAAATTTAAAAAATCAGGAATGACAGGGAAATCTTTACATGAACTATAAATGAAAGCCTCTTATTTTTGTAATGACAAGTGTAACTGTATTTTTATGGAGTACCTTGTGCATTATAATACTTTTTCATTCGTTTTACCTTTAATGCTTCTATAACCACTGCTGGGTAGCTCAGTCCAACCATGTTTGATGTACGTCTATACATTCTGCCAAAATCAGAGAAGGAGAAAACGCAATATTATATCTTACAAGTATTGACAAGTAATGAGAAGTCATGTCATCTGGCAACCCAAAGGACCTAACATTTCCTTTGTCATATTTTCACAGTCAATCAAGTATAAAATTCAAAAGACATTAACACAATTACAAACACATGAACTGTTGGAAACAAAAAAGAATCAGTCCGTGTGGCTCAAATTGGAAATTAAATGATTAAAATTCTGCCAGCAGAGAATTCTAGTACAACATAGAGAGTATGCAACGTAGACCTTTAACCTGGACAAGGAGCTCCTATGGGCAACCCATTTACAAGAGCTGTTCTTTACAATTGCCAAAAACAAGCAGGAAAACGTCCAGGGTGAACTATGACATTCTAAAATCTGTAAATGTCCAATAAGGATTGCAGGAAGAATAAATCCATTTTTATAATAAGGATTACAGAAAGAATAGATCAGTTTCTGGAATCTATGTCCAGAGAAGAGAAACAATGTAATTTGAAAGAACACAATGGTGAACAGAATTGGAAAGTTCCAAGGGGAACTGAAGCCCTTTCAGTGAACTGCTCTCAGGGGCCCACAAGCTGTCCCTGACCTGCCCCAAATGCAGACATCCTCCACATGTGTCCAAGGATGATGGATTCAATGATATCCTCCTTTAAAAGTGGGAGACTGGACTCAACTCTTGACAAAAAGAATCTGAGCCAGAGGCAAAAGCTTGTCCGAATGGTGCTACAGAGAGAAAAGTAGCCATGCTTTTGCTATCTCTCGTTCAAGACTATCTGTTTGCACCCAGGACTGTTAGCATTTATAAAGACACCAAAAGTACATGAAAGCAAATCTTCCATTGTTGGGGAACAGGTGATCCTTACGCTGCTTTAGTTATCGAATGAATGACAGTTGTCTTTACCTCTCCACGAATATCCCAGCCTGCACTGCGTGCACGATGCTCTTGAACCGCGGCTTCTCATCGCTCCGCCTGAGCATCATCCCCATCTGCCGCGTGAAGGTGGAGGCCAGCCAGTCTCGGACCTCAGAAGGCACCGCATCCGACTGGATGTCACTGAGCTCATCCTCCGTATCCAGGAGCCGCCTGAGCACAAGAAACACAACCGGACACAGACAAAACCTGAAGTGAGAGCTGTCTGTTCTGAACAGCTGCTCCTCTCCCCTCATCTGCAGACGCAGGTGCAAAGAAACCCAATTAGATCAGCCACAAAAAAATATGGCATCTTTTAGGTAAGGCTTGTAAAAGCTCACTATTTGCTTTTCAGAAATGTCTTTTCTACAGGTTATGTTTCAGGATGGCTCTCTCTACTGGCCTGATTAAGGAAACTGAGTCAGAAGAAGTCAGAGTCCATCTCAGGCTCTGTGGTTCTCAGACTCACTGCACTCAGAGCACCCAGCATCCTGATTTTTAGGTTTGTGGAATTTGAATGGAATCTATACCTTCCATTTAACAATGCACAGGGAAGGATATTTCATAGATGGACCTTGTGGTACTGTTGGGTTTTTTAGTTGACACTTAAAAACTTTACCATAGACAATAATAATGTATTAGAAACTTTCAAGTTGCTACGAGACTAGATCTTTATTTTATTATTTTTTATATATATTTTATTAATTTTTTACAGAGAGGAAGGGAGAGGGAGAGAGAGTTAGAAACATCAATGAGAGAGAAACATTGACCAGCTACCTCTTGCACACCCCCTACTGGAGATGTGCCCGCAGCCAATGTACATGCCCTTGACCGGAATCGAACCTGGGACCTTTCAGTCCGCAGACCGACGCTCTACCACTGAGCCAAACCGGCTTCGGCACGAGACTAGATCTTAATTGTTCCCATCACAAAAATATAATGATAATGATGTGACGTGATAGAGGCGTTAGCTAATGCTGTGGGGTAATCATATTGTGATATAGAAATGTGTCAAACCAACACATTGTACACTTTAAACTTACACTATGTTATGTGCCAATTGTATTCCAATACAAGTAATTTTTAAAAAAAAAGAAAAACTAATAGACGATAAAGTATTACTCAGACCCTAGCAATGTCAACTGATATTCTCTGGTTTGATAGGCCACCATAGAAACTTAAATGTTTAAATTCAAGCAAAATTCCCCTAATAAACAGCTCTTTATCTGAGCACAGACATGTAAGTCATCTGTCAGGTGGACTTCGCTGATTTTCAAACTTGTTCATAGGTCAGACGTCTAGAACAGAATACAAATATAAAAAGTTACATCAAATTTAGAATGGCATTTTATACTTATATTAAGCCCTACTAAAAAGGAGTAAAAATTGGTGTTAATAAAAAGCTGTTTTTTCTTTAAACACATCAGTTGGGGAAAGAGGATAAAGTGTAACATTTGGGGGGAAGGGGAACTATGATATCAACTGTCCTTAAATTAGGAACCAATCATGTTACAAAAACTAAGCCACAGAATTCTCAGATGCCTGAGATATCATCTAAGAATCATCTCAGATTGGAATTTGGCATAGAAATGTAAGGACACACAAATACCGACAAAGGAGCCTAACGGAATTTTAAAAAGAAGATTTCATAGTCATCCTTTCAACTTTTTTTTTTTCAAAAGAAAAGCAATTTTGTTGTTTTCAAATACATTTAGTAATTGGAAGCACTTTAGTACTTTTGGATCATTCAAGTGCAAAGAGTCTGCTAAGAAAAATCAATGTCACACTTAAGACTGAAGGAGAAACACGGGGTGCTTAAGAGAACAAATGCTTCTCCATCACCCCCAGACCCTCCACTTAGAGACAGATACTGTGAACCAGAGTAGGCCCATAATATATAGACTGAGCCTAACATTATGCAATAATCATAGTAGAAGCCTACATTTGATAGAAAATCTTACCAGATTTTCACAATGTGTCAAACCTTTTCCCCTATTACATGGTCTCACTCCAGTGTTGTAATGGCTGGATGAGATTAAGTTCTATTGAATGCTCCTTTTGATAGATGAGGAGGTACAGAGGAAAAGTGAGCTCAAATCTACCCCATTTGCTTGTGGAAACAAAAGCTCCAGGGCCAGTCATTTGAATGCTACCCTCTACATGCCCTGGGGGACAATTCAGAAGGGCCATTGAACGGAAAAGTCACCATCAGCACACTAACTCTTGTCATTTTTAGCTTACCTGGTTTCATCGATGTATACAGACTCAAGCACTGTAGCTGCATATTCCAAATTCTTCTTAAGATCTACCACTGAAGCCTCGCCTCTCTCTAATTGTTTGACCAAAGACCGTAACCTAAGGGAAGAAAAGACACAATTCAATTAGAATAAAGGTAACAAAGAATGACCTTACAATTACAGTGACAAATTTTAGAGTTATTCAATATTTTTATTTATTCTAATATATTGTAAAGGAAAATACTAATCTAATGATGGAGCTGACCAGTATATCTCAAGGAGGAAGTTATAAAATAAATGCATACATTTTTATGAAGCAAGAATAAAAATGTTTTCATCTACCAGACACTGACCTCCCCCAACACTTTCTGGCTACCTTTTATGTTTCAAGAGTTCCCTACACTGCCGAAACCGGTTTGGCCCAGTGGTAGAGTGTCGGTCTGCGGACTGAAAGGTCCCGGGTTCGATTCCGGTCAAGAGCATGTACATTGGTTGCGGGCACATCCCCTGTAGTGGGTGTGCAAGAGGCAGCTGGTCAATGTTTCTCTCTCATCGACGTTTCTAGCTCTCTATCCCTCTCTTCTCCTCTCTGTAAAAAATCAATAAAATATATTTAAAAAAAAAAAAAAGAGTTCCCTACATTATCAATGGTTTTGCAGATTCTCTGATTTTAATTTTTGCTGCCCTAATTGGATGCAGTAAAGCAAGACCAGCAACATCATCAGGTTGAGATTCTGCTATGTTGACAGTACTTTGTTCACAGTGACCATGGAGAATAGCAGCCTCCTGGCCCATAGGTCTTCCAATACAGCCAAGCAGATCTAAATCACCAAAATAATCTTAAAGAGCTACATAGGTAGACATGAAGGCAAAATAGTTCACTGAACAGGAAGGATGCCAAAAGAACAGAAACTTTGAGGACACTTCAAACATATTGTCTATGCAATTCTAGGCAAGTCGTTATTATATTTTTTAATCCTTATCCAAGGATATGTTTTGATTGATTTAAGAAAGAGAGAGATGAGAGAGAGAGAGAGAGAGAGAGAGAGAGATCATTTGTCTCCCATAAACACCCCAACTGGGGATCAAACCTACAACTTAGGTATGTGCCCTGACTAGGAATCTAACCCACAAACTTTGGTGTATGGGACAACACTCTAAACCAACTGAGCCACCCAGCCAGGGCAGGCAGGTTATTTCATTTCTAGTAGAGTCAGCTATAAAATGGAGATTCAACCAACAAATCTCCTAGATTGCTATAAATGTTAAATCAAATTGATATTAGTATAGTCACATTAACCATGTGACCCACTGTTATAGTTTTTTTTAATATATATATATTTATTTATTTTTTAATATATATTTTATTGATTTTACACAGAGAGGAATTAAGAGGGACAGAGAGTTAAAAACATCGATGAGAGAGAAACATCGACCAGCTGCCTCTTGCATACCCCCCACTGGGGATGTGCCCGCCACCAAGGTACATGCCCTTGACCAGAATCGAACCCGGGACCTTTCAGTCCGCAGGCCGACGCTCTATCCACTGAGCCAAACCAGTCCCGGCTCCCCCATCTTTATTGAGATGTAATTGACATATCACATTGTGTAAGTTTAAGGTGTACAATGTGATGATTTAATTCATGTATAGATTGGAAAATGATCACCACAATATAGTTAGTTAACACATCCATGACCTCACATAGTTACAATTTTTGGGGGGTGAGAATATTTAAGATTTACTGTCTTAGCAACTTTCACATAAATAATGCTCCAAACTAATATTTGCTAACTAGTCATCATGCTGTACATTAGATCCTCAGAACTTATTCATCTCATAACTAGAACTTTGACCAGCATCTCATTTCCTTGTTGTTTTTCATTAAGGCAATTGTTATCATTGCCATCACTGCCAATATTTGGTGACTTTGATCATCATAGGCAACCAGATGAGAAATATTGTAGCAGGACACTTAAGATTACCGTCAAGTCTCCATTTCCCAAGGCTGAGCCCACCCTGCTGACTTCAAAATCCTCTGACTTGTAGTCACAAGAAAGAACACTCAGACTTCTTGGCAATATGCAAACTACTCCCCTCTAGAGCCACATGAAAATGATCAGCAATAAAAAATAAAAAAAAGGAAAAACTCTGGGTCAACCTTAAAATGTAAGCAAGGAGTCATCCATCCAAAAGAAATTGCCGGGAATGTCAATGAGGTAAAATATAGAGAAAGTTCTTTGAGTCACCATCTGACTGTGAATCTCTAACGTGCAAAGGGAAATATTATATGCAAAGCACATGGACAGAGCTCTGCTCCCTAGGAGGTGAGGTTGGCAGTGGCTCCCGTTAGCAGCCCTAGGAAGTGCTCTGGGTTTCAGAGGCAGCGTAGGACAGGTGGTTGGGACAGAAAGGCATGGAGTCACTCACACACCATAGACAGCCTGCCTGCCAAAGGATGGCAGACTGCAGCGGCCAGCCCTGAGTGCTGCTCCAAAAAAGGAATGGAAGCTCTTGAGCAAAAGCATTCCTGGCTACGTCTGCCTCTAGTGTTCACTCTCTCCTCCAAGAGCCCAACTGCCCTCCAGATTGTTTGGACTGGCAACTGGCAAAGCAAAACGAGGGTGAATTTAAACTTTTCTATTTCTCCCTTCATTTGGGGCTTCATGTTTCTACCAGGAATGTCCATCAATCACTAATAGGACCCATCTCAATTCTCAAAACCTAAGAGAAAAGGACAAAGCATTAAAAAAAAATGATGAAGTGGCCGAAACCGGTTTGGCTCAGTGGACAGAGCGTCGGCCTACGGACTGAAGGGTCCCAGGTTCGATTCCGGTCAAGGACATGTACATTAGTTGCGGGCACACCCCCAGCAGGGGTGTGTGGGAGGCAGCTGGTCAATGTTTCTAGTTCTCTATCCCTTTCCCTTCCTCTCTGTAAAAAATCAATAAAATATATTTTAAAAAATAATAAAATTAAATAAATTAAATAAAAAATGATGAGGTGAAAATGGAAAGCGAACAGGAGTAAGATGGTCCTATCTGCTGCCAATAGGGCTTCCATGAGAAGCAAATATAAGCAGCTTTAATCAAGGAAGTTTTCCTAGACTGAAGAAACACCTTGATCAACAGATGAAAAGAGATCAAATACAACCAGGAAAACAATAAATGAAAACATCTAACATACGCTGTTCTAATTTTTTAATTCAAAGAATAAAGAAAAGGACTTGAAAATCTTTGAGAAAATAAAATATATTATTTAAAAGTAATGAAAACTCAGGCTGGCCACAGACTCCTATCCTGCTAAATATGAGACAGCAATTTAACAAGTTTTGAAAATAGTATGGAATAATGCATGATATCTCTATCTATATTTCATAGAATTGCCATGTATATGTGAATTGATTAAGTGTATTCTCAGGTGTGGACAAACTCAAACTTTCTTCATTAAAATGCTTCCCAGAAAACAAAGTCTTTAAGGCATTCTCTATGACAGAGGTTGAAAGGGGATAGATTTATGGGTCTCCAATTAAATGGATTGTCGATTCACAACATAGATTTAACCAAACCACTCTACAAAATAGACAGTTTAAACGATTAAAAAGAAGTGGCACATGGAATATAATGCTAATTATACAAGGACAAGTTCGCGTGAAAATGACTGACACTTCCTAAGATATGTTCCTATTCCTACTATATATACTCCTATGTCACTCTTTTTATTATGAGTTGAAACCAGTAAAAATATTTATTGTTTGTAAACACCATATATTTGAGACAGCAGGAACCAAAGCATCCTCTGTCAAATTCTCCCTTCACTTGTATTTCATAAAAGTGCTTTGAACTCAGATTGCTACCACCTGAGTAGAGAGGATAGCCAAAGGGAGCCCTGAGGAACCAAAGTCGATCCCAGGGCCAGGACATGACCCCAGGCTAACACACCTGCCACATGCTCAACTAGACATGCCCAGGACATGCCCAGGAGTACTCAGGGGCACGCGCGCACACACACACACACACACACACAGGAACGAGGAGGTCAGGCACCAGTGTCATTCATTTCTGAAGGAGCCACTTCAAATCCCAACCCTTGACTCTGTTGATAGGACAAAGGATGCTATGCAAAAATGAATCACAGTCAGCCAATGTACAGTTAAAATGATCATGAACATCATATGGACTATCACTTATAACCACTCATGTTAACAACCCCCACTCCTGGAGAAGCACAACATTGGGGACCTTATCAAGTCATGAAGAAACTCAGATCTCTTTTGATCTGGCCGCCAGGACCCGAGGGAAAGCGTCACTGTGAACCCCTCACCATTTCAGATCAGCACTGAAAACATCTGCCGCGGAAGTCCCCCACTTTGTGCCACAGTGAGCAGAAATCAGGCATGGAGGTTCCCGTAGTGTGTAGAGCAAGACCTTGAGCACAGCCACACGTATGTATCCAGTGTGCAGGTCTGACCCAACAGGAAGCTGGAAACACTTCACCAGTGGCTTCAACAATCCCAGAGAAGAAATGACACAGAATAAAGTACCTTTGGATGCGTAAATTGTACCAAAAATCCAAGTCTGCTCCCATCCTTCTAGCTTATGAGATGAGCAGAAGATTCCACCAACACCCTGGCAGGCAGTGAAGGGAGCCTTGGACAATACCCAGACAACATTCATCTCTCTTTAGTCAAGGACAACAAAACAAGGAGGGGGGGAAAAATCTGTGAAAAGACTCAGCAATAAGGAAGCAGAGAATAGAGCACTCAAAATGCAGACAAAGACACACTTTTGAAAAGAAAATTTACCAAAAGAAACAAAAACTAAATTTTAGGGAGCATCTGTCTGCTTTGTGTTCAATTAAATTCAAGAAGGCAGATTTGCGAAACAAAGGTGAAAGCTGAAATCATAATGCAATAAAAAGTGAACATATTGAGAAAGACAAAATGAAAAAGAAAAAAAAATATGGCAATACAAAAACTATATAAACGTTTATAAAAAGTAAATGGTGCCTGGCCGGTGTGGCTCAGTTGGCTAAGCACTGGCCCATGCACCAAAAGGTCACTGGTTCGATTCCCTGTGAAGGCTCATGCCTGGTTTTGGGCTTGATCCCAAGTTCAGGGA